GGATGGTCTGGGCAGTAGACCTGGGACTTTGGGGGGGGGGTCAGGGTAGGGAGAATGGCCTGGCGGGTTGCCAGGGCTACGGGGTCGTGTTCTTGCTTTGCTTGTGCAATTTTAAAAGGTTGTGCCAAGCCTAGACATTTTATTTAGTGAACTTGATACGGAATATATGGAATAGGTTAAGTCAAATGCATTTGGATGGTTAAATAAGTCATTTGAGTGAGCTTGTGGCTCATTAAAGGAGTTCAGTTTTTGTCACAAATACACTAATTAAAATGTTTCCTGACTGAATCACTTGGCTAAGAGTTAACAAATGTACACAAGTTTATGCCTTTAACATGTGTGTGCAGCAATTCTCTGGTCTTCATATATGACCAGTTTCGAGGGGGCATTTCCCTATAACATTTATCTTGTTTTTTTCTTTTAGTATACTATTATATGTCATCTGGTATCTAACTAAGCTCATATATGCCTTTTATTTGAGACACGCGTCTGCACCACGTCTCTGTTTTAGCCTCTTCAGACATGTCCATGGGATCATTTGCTTCTCCCTTCACCCCACACCCTTCTAAGCTCTTTCCTGTCCGCACACTTCTCTTTCCCGTTAGTTCTTTATTTACATGTTGGTTTTTTGCATACTTGCCTGCACTTTTATTTGGGAGTTTTTGTTCTTCTTTGTGTATCTACAAGTTATGCTATTATGTGTGAATTTGGCTCTTGGTAGTATTGTATAACTTGTCTTATTTCTTTCAAAATTTGGTGGCCTGACCTACCATTATATTTTCTTCATCAGCACTTTGCATTCTTGATGTGTGTGCCTCAATTGTACATCACACCCCGAGGTTCCAAAGCCCCTTTGCACCTTGCACCCCTATCAACTTAGGTGCCCAATCGATTAGGATACATGAAGGTTCACACCTTGCCACAAAGTAGAGAGATTGTTCTCAAAAGGCGCTAAAATGAGAAATTTAATATAGTGGAAGTGATTCCAAGTTCCAATTTTAATTCAAATGATCCCCACTTTACAAACCAGTCCATCCTAAATGTAAATACTCCCTCCGTCCAGAATTAATCGTCCTAGGTTGACTTCACGGAGTTTATGAAAAGTGCTGAAAAGTAAAAAAGTAGTGGTTGAAATTTGATTAGAGGAAAGAGAAAGATTTGGACCACACATTCCTTTTTTAGTTAGGAAAGTAAAGAAGAGACAAGAATTTTGGGACGGACTAAAAACAAAACTGAGACGATTCGGGACAGAGGGAATATGTAACTATCAGGTAATATTTAATTATTTACAGGTCGATGGATTGACCCGCTGTCTGTGGACCTCTGTCCCGCATACACGGATCCCGTAAGCTGAACTCCTTGGGTTAGGGTTTGCTGTGATCTTATGTAAACCTTGTGATGCAGGCTGTCGAAGGAACCAATTCAACCAAAAGCTCAAGCTTGTGGTTGTGGCCTAGGAAGAGTTATTTATATTCTAACACGCCCCCTCACGTGCAGGCATATTCTTTTTCGAGCCTTGCACGTGAAACTTTAATTTTCTTAAAACTGGGTGGTGCTGAGTTTCGAACCCGTGACCTCTTAGTCAACAAGGCTTCGGTATCATGTCGAAGGAACCAATTCAACCAAAAGCTCAAGCTTGTGGTTGTGGCCCAGGAAGAGTTATTTATATTCTAACACAGGCTAACTAACAGATTAATAATTCATGCGCATATTTTTCAGCTGACTCAAGGAAGTATGATGAGAGGCGGAAGAAGTCTAGTTTCTTCCAGACCAGCATTCTCTAATGACGGGAAGAAGCTTCTTCTCTGCACTGCCAACTCTGTGTCTATTTTCAGCACATTCACTGGCTTACAGGTCCCTCTTACTGCTTTCTCATTAAAATTGTCACGAGTCAGAAGAACTATGGTATTCACTCATGTTGTTCTGCAGATTGGTGAGCTGGAAGGTCATACAGCTTTGGTGACATCAGTAATTGTTGTGCCAGGAACAACATCGAGCAAAATACTGTGCTATTGTTGGACGGCATCACTTGATGGTACAATTAGATACTGGGATTTTGCAGTCCCTGAATTGATGAAGACTATTTCCATTAATGCCCCAATCCATTCCATGGTATTGCTATTGCCATTTATCTACAATGTTTACTTCTCAACTGTAATTGATATTATATGTGGTTCTCCGGATTATGCAAAGCAAATACAAGTATATTATTTTCATGCAATATATTATTCACTTAGAATCCATATATCTTGTGATTATGTCTCATCTCTTTTGTGAATAACAATAACAAGTTACAACAACCCTGTAAAATCTCATAGAGGGGTCTGGGAGGGTGCATGAGTGGCTGTTCCCAGGAGGCCTGTAGCTCAGAACAATCTTCTGTGATTAACAATTTTTTTTGTTGATATTCTAGGTACTTCCAGCACTAGCATGTCAACTTATAGAGGGTGCCGAAAGACCTTTGGATCAATTTGCTTATATTTCTTCTCAAGATATGAAACAAAAAGATGAGCAAGTTCCTAAGTGGCAGATATTAAAATGTAACTTAACAAAGTCTCGTCTGTGTGGTGGAGTAATATTGGCAAAGGTGTGGATTAAAGTATCATATTTTTGCTATGTAATCATATTGGATCTAATATCTGGTCTGATCTTGTTATATTTAAAGTTGTTTCTGATGTGGTCTAACCTGCTTCCATTAGGAATAAGTAATAAGAAATAAGAATAAGTTGATGAAAACAAGCTCTTAGGCCGTACACTATGTGTATTGAAGCTTCGTTTCATTCATTTCTCATTTTTTTACTAAATAATATTCGAAATCATTGTTTAGTAACATTTTATTGAGTGTTTCACATGGATTTTGTTGACTGATTCTCAGTTTTCAGCATACCATTAAAGGGGGTTGTTAATGTTTCAGTGCTTTTGGTGTCTGATTCTCAGTTTCTTGCTAAACAGTGAAGTTGACAAGCATCTTTTGGGTGCTTTCCTATTCTGTGTTCAAATAACTACAAAATTTTACGCAATGCCAAACACCCTAATTGGACTTCAAAAGCAGCTATAAACTAGGGCATTAAACAGTTTATTTTATGCTAAATTTTGACTTTATGGATTCTCTGGTTGTTTCAGAGCAAAAGGCCACAATTAATCACTGTCAGCCCCAGTGGGAAGTATTTAGGGTTCTGCGAAAAGCACAAAATTAGAATATGGAAAGTGCCGGCAAAAGACTCTGATCATGCAGTACATAAAACAATCAGATTGCATCATACCAAAGAGTTAAACACTCTAGCTTTTCATCCAAGTAAAAGAATTGTAGCTGCGGGAGATGTTACAGGAAGAATTTTAATATGGAAGCATTTTGGAGAAAGAATGTTTTCTGTTACTGATAAGTTGGAAAATGGAGATGTTATGGATGCAAAGGAGAGACCGGGAGTGAGAGGTGATGATGATGCTGATTTGTGCACCACATGGCATTGGCATTCTACAGTGGTGAAGGTCTTGTTTTTTTCTTCTGATGGTGCCTATCTCTACTCAGGTAGAAACAAAAAACTATGGCCATTATTTTCAACAACTATAAAGAGGAATATTTTAGGTTTTTTTATCATGTTACTGCCTATTCCAGAAGTTGATTTGATTTTGCCAGTAGTTTATACACATGTAAATATTCTTCTCCTTCATGCACTGCAATTTTATATTGGTCAGGTGGCAGAGAAGGTGTTCTTGTTGTCTGGCAGCTAGACACCGGAAGGAAAAAATTTGCACGGTTTGGGAGTCCACTTAAATATTTTACCATCTCGTCTGATCCTTCATTAGCCTCGGTAAAAAATTCTTTGCCTATAGTTTTAGTTATAACTAAATTCGATAGTACTTAGTTGCTTCTGCAGGTTTCTTGTGCAGATAACACTCTTCATTTGCTAAAACTACCATCCATGGAAATACTAAAGACCATATCAGGGATCCAGGTATGTATCCTACCATTTCTGTCTCAACAGTAAAAGAAACTCAAAATAAGAGGATACTGACTTATATTGCACCTCTTTAGGCTTTCCATTGAAACCATTCACTCTTATCTCCCTCCATCCTAAAATTTTTATCCATTTTGACTTGGCAAGCTTATTAAGAAAATGAAATTGTGTGTTTGCGGTTTGGTTTGAAAGGCTAGAAATATTATTTCATTACCAATGGCACAAATTTTCCCTCAACAGAAAAAGGAGTAGAAAATTCCTGGACAACCCCAAAACTCCCAAAAGCGGAATGAGAATATTTTAGGATGGAATTTTTTTCTTCAATATATTTGCAGTTCAACTAAGTTCGAAAGAATAAATGCAATATGTATTCTGTTGAATACTTTTGTCTCTTAAAATGTAATTTGCAGTTTCCCAGTTCAGCCCTAAAGACATATAATGGTTCAAGCTGTGATGCTGCCCTTGACTCTACAGCTGGGATAGTTGCCATTTGCACAGAAAATTGCTGCATCCAACTCTTTAGCCTGTTAGATGATCGCGAAATTTCACTGGTAGGCAATTTTAAAAATAATAAGCAACTTGGTCATTTGGGTTTTTTCCTATTGCATTTAGGGGGTTAGGGGGGTAGGAACCGTCGTTTTTACAAATGGAGCACCGTAGGTACCTCAAACGAACTGGTGTAAGCAAATGACACCAGTAGCACTAGTGTCATTTTAGACTTACCGTGTGTGTGTGTGTGTATATATATATACACACACACACACACACACATATATACATACATACATATACATATATATATATATATATGTATGTATGTATGCATATATATATATATATATGTATGTATGTATGTATGTATATATATATATGTATGTATATATATATATATAGGGAGCGTCTAAAATGACACCAGTTACTTATACACCAGTTGCTTACACCAGTTCGTTTGGGGTATCTACAGTGCTGCGTTTGTAAAAACGACGGTTCCTACCCCCCTAACCCTCCCCCTAAACTCCCCACNGTTTCTCTGTAACTGATGGTTTTAGTGATGCATTGTCAGCATTACTTTCCATCAATTCTAGATAGAGAAAAGCTGTTACTTGATGTGGGAACTGGGATATGAATTTGATTTGGAATGGAGTGGTGAGGAATAGCTAAGATGTATGGAAACATATTGTGCCACACTCACCCTTAATCAAGGTGGAAGACTGCGGCATTTCCTCTGACCTTCAATTTATCCATTTGTCTCTCAATTTCCACTACATATATTTTGTGTTTGAAGCCTTACTTAGAAGAGGGCAAATAATTTTTTTGACTCAACTAAGTAAAGATGTTTCAATTGGGAAATGATGGAATTGATCTGTCAACTATTCCTACCTTGGAATTGTTGAAAGCACTAAGCTGGTACATAAGAAGAGAAACTGACTACAGGTTTTTTGAGATATGTAATGATATTTGAGGTTTTGCCTCAAGAATACCATCTCCCACTACCATAACTCAAAGAAGAGTAACCCAATCTTAAGATAAGTTAAGAAATTTCAGACAGCTAATGTTTATCACGAGTCATCTGCTTGAGTTTTTCAAAAAAGATAATGGCCTTGATGGGTTTGTAATGCGGGTGCTATGGGGGGATTGCAGGGGGGTCTCTCTTTCATGGCAATAAGTATCTCTAGGAACAAGATCAAAAGAGTTTCATTGCATAGATAATATGAGTCAGTCTGGGTTCAATCTTCTAGCCCTCACTTGATTCTGTTGACCTCTTGGAAGAAGACCAAGGATGACTGACACCGAGTTGTTATCTTGAGGATTGGATTTTAAATTAGCATATAATTCAAGGAGCGATCTAGTTATTGTTAGTGAGTTTTGTATGTAGGATACTTTGTTTTCTTTATGTCTAGTTCTACTGAAGAATTTTTATGTTTCATTAGTGTTTTATTGCTAAAAAATACTCCTCTTTAATAAAAGCTTGATCATTTCTGTGAGTTGTGAATTGTGAGACACTGTATTGGATATAGCCGGTTAGGTGTGTGATATAAACACTCCAGGATTTCACCAGTTCCTAATAGTTGTCATTTTTGTGTTCTACTTTTTGTAGGTCCGAGTCTGTGAAAGAAATCATCAACCTGGTGATGAAATCACGGTACATAATAACTTCTGGCTTCTCTGCTCTTTTGACACAGATTGACAGATGCAAGGTTTGAAAAACATATCTGGGCCTTAATGCCATTTTCCTTCCCACGGCTCTTGGAAGCCTTGAGGTTAACAAGAGACGCACTTCGTTGTAATGTAGAACAGTCTTAAAGCACATCTCTTCCCAGGGCAGAAGCATCCATTTTCTCCACCTTTTTTACTATTTAATTCATGGGCCATTGGTCATCTGGAAACCCATGGTCGCCTATTGGGGTAATGTTGTTGTATGGAATCTCTAGGAAACCCAAATAATTTTCTTTAAACAACCCAATAAAATCCCACAAAAGTAGGGTCTGGGGAGGGTGTGTGTACGCAGACCTTACCCCTACTCAAAAGTAAAACACATACTAGCACTTGAAGCAGCAATTCTTCCTTGTGCTTCAATTCCAACAATTTGCGCCTTGATTCAAGGTGCTCCTTGAGGCGAACTGGATCAGATGTTTATATCATGCACATATTATGTGTTATGTGTGGAAAGTCTTTGTTGTTATTGTTGTTACTGTAGAAGTGATTGAATGCTCACTGACTCATTACATCTGCGACATGAAATATAGTGATTGAACTATTGAAGTCACGTGCTTTCATTTACATTGTTTGGTTCAAGGAATTTTAAAGGGAAAAGAAAAAAATGAGATGGAAACAATTCTTTGATTTTGTTAGAGAGGAAAAGAAAAGAAAGGTGGAAAGGAAAGAAAATGAGAAGGAAAAATGTACTAAGAGGGGGGAAAACAAAATTCCTCCCATTTTGTTGAGGAAAATGAGAGAACCATTTTCTTTTCTTTTCCTTCTAAATTCCTTGAACCCAACATAGTCTTAGAATACAAATACTATACTATGTTGGATTGATCTATTTGACAAGTGATTGTCTTCTTTCCTAGCAGTCTTCAAATGGGGTTTGCTAACTTCTTTACAGGTCATAGTAAATATGGTGGCTCTCTCTCTAGATGGCTGTACCATGGCTACCATAGAGACTAGGCTTCATGAAGAAGGAATTGGAGGCCTCATTAGTTTAAAGTTCTGGACAAGTGGCTCTGAAAGCAAAGGCTTCAGCTTGTCCACTGTTATATATGAACCACACAGGTTTTACCTTTTTTAAAATATATGACTTCATTTGGGAACATTGTTTGTTACTGCCATCATTCTTTTGGATAATTCTTTAATGGTGCTTATTAACCTTTTTTTCCCCATTGTCTCTGATGGAGCCAAAGATTCACTATTTTTTTGGTTTTTGGGTTATGATGAAATAAAACAAAATGGCTCTTTAATTAGTCTGCGTTTCTTTCAATAGTGAAGTTGCACTTAGTCAATGCAACTTTCATAGCTTATCATGGGTCATCTGGAAACAGCCGGTCTATGTTTTAAACATAGGGGTCAATGCTGTGTACATCCGACTCTCCCTTACACTGCAATAGGCAGTGCACTGGGGTAATGTTTGTTTGTTATCGATTGCTTATCAACTTTGGAAACATCAATGCCAAAAGCTACAGTTTGATAACATTTAAAAAAATGCTGAAGCTAAATGTTAAAACTAATGCCAAACAGAGCTTAAATATAACTCTTTTTAAATAGCTTTTTCTTGCAGTTTAAAGTGTTAATCCTTGTTTTTAAAAAATGTGCTAATCCTTATTCCTTGATAATGATTCTTGGCCTTATTGCTATGTACCATATAGGGATGCGGGTGTTTCTGCAATTACCTTCCGTCCTGCAGGAAAAATGGCCGTGAGCTCTTCATATGGGGCTGACTTTAAAGTAAGTGTATTCTTCTGGCCTCATGTTGTGCTTAATTCAATTCGTACTGTGCCTATAATATTTACCAAACTAGTTGTTTCTATATTCCATATCCCTTTTTGGCAGATCTGGGTTTGCAGCAGTGGTGTTCAACTTGAGGATCCAATAATTAATGGTGGATGGACATGCCATGCTGTTGGTTCATACAAGTATGATTATTCTAAGAGTCACATTTTCTTTTTCCAGAAATAGTAACATTTTTTCTTTAGTAAACATTCCCATGACAGGCAGTAAAAATGTCACTAGGTTGATAATATCTTACTGAGTAGTTAGTAGAATGCAAATTAACACTAATCTTGTTTGATGTATTTGTCTTAAAGGCATGCAAGAAAGATTTTTTTGCTTTATTTTCATGTATTTTTGTATGCTGGGGCATGGCACATCCCATTTGCATTGTTTCTTGTACTACTAAAGTTAGCCATCAATTATGGAGTAAGTGGCTTCTGCATGATTGTAAAGATCCACATGATTAGCACCTGAGGGTTATAGCTGATATTCAAATATGACTGTTTTGAACTGGTGCCCTTTTTCTGGTCATATAATTTAACTAAACTTCTGCAGAAACAAGCCAATGACAGCTGCTGCTTTTTCTGCTGATGGTTCTGTTCTGGCTGTTGCTGCCGAAAGAGTTATTACTTTATGGGATCCAGACAGGAATGTGCTTGTGGCTACAATTGGAGAGAGTTTTGAGGTAAATTATTATAGCATGCAAATTAAGTGTTTATATTGTTCTTTTCCTGATGGTCTTGTGAAAAGTTTCTGCATTGCTTAGAATTTCATTTGGTGGTTAAGTGCTTGATAGAAACACATATTCACTCTATTACAACAGAGGTCCCACTTTACACAGCAATAGATGGGGTAGAGACTTCAGACCTGCATAAATGCCATCTGTATACTCCAAATGTGCATAGCAATGAGAACAGTGGGGTGACTCTGTATAAGTAGTTGATAGTTACTCCCTCCGTCCCACTCTCTTTGTCCACTTACCTTTTGGCACACCATCCAATGCACTTCTTTAATCCATTTTATCTTGTAATTTGTATATTAAAAAATTATAGAAATTATATATTAATAATCTATATGTTAAGACAAATCAAACAAGATCACACATGACTATATTTAAGCTTACACATTGAGAGAATTTGATGAGTCAAAGTGCTTAGATGAACAGTTCCAAAAGTCAAAACTGGACAAAGAGAGTGGGACGGAGGTAGTACAACTTACATGCATATGCAACATGTATGCAGTAATCATTACATCACCGTCTCGTGTGGTAAATTAGATGGGTGTTGTGAAATATAAATGCTGTCCACATGCTCTAAGTTCTAGCATTTCTGTGCTTTAGGACAGTGATAAAAATGCCAGCTTTGACTTAATCTCATTTGAGTTTTTTTGCCTTTGTGTAGCCAATTTCTTCTCTGTCTTTTGTCGGGAAGTCAGAATATCTATTGTCCTTGTCAAAAGGCTCTAATCCACAATTGTCTGTTTGGAGTATGTCAAAGATGTCTACATCTTGGTCATGCAAAATGCATGCAGAAGGTTTGATTGATTTCTTATTCTCACTTTTTTCATGCGTATTATAATTTGCGTTCTATTTTGAATTTTTTTGTTCCTGAATTACTATTTTAATGATATATACAGGTGTATCATGTGCTATGGATGGTTTGTCTTTTGCCGTTCTTGCACTTCTTTGTGATCCAGCTAGGAATAAGGCTGCTTCCAATGAAGCATCATTGAAGGGCGTGGATGGGGTAATTTTATTGTATAATGTTGAAACTCCTCTTCCTTTGGCTACTTGGTTTGTGAAGAAGGTATCTATTCTCTTTCTGGATTTCTGGTCTTTTTGTTGCTCATGGTCAACCAATTAAGCATCCACATTTTTTTATATTTTATCATTGTATCTTTTTCGTCTTAATGTTTCATTTATTATATCACAGGCTCGAGGGGGAAGGATTAGTTTTGTTCTTCCAACCGATAAATCAGAAGCAGATGGAAAACAGTTGCAGATGCTATGCTATATGAATAGTGACCATGAGTATGTTCTCTTTGACCCGTACAGCGAGCAGCTGCACAATCAAAAAATTATACAGAGACAGAGGCTTGTTCAGTCCATGGATGAAACCGGTAATGCAAACGTGATCTACCATACTCTTCTTCCGTCCCAAATTAATCTTTTCGTTTGCTTTTTCACGTAGTTTAAGAAAAGTAAAATTGTTTGGTTGAGATTTATGAAGAGGGGAAAATATCAACATGGACCACCTATTCTACTCCTTTTAAGGAATGGGAATTTTATTTTCGTACAACCCAAAAAGTAAAGCAAGAATATATTAATTTGGGACGGAGGGAGTATCTCCTTTGCACACAAGTTTGTGCTTTAACTCTTCTAAGGTTGGCTTCTACAGGAAGATTTGGATATGCATCTATTTATGGGGAATTGCCGGAGTTTGATCTTAAGCCAAATCAAACTTCACTAGTCTCAGCAACTCTACCATCAGAAGGAAGAAGGCCTTGGGAAACCATATTTAGCGGCCCATCTCATGCTCTTCCTCCCCTTCCCAAATTGTGTTCTTCATTTATCGAATCTTTACTTGAAAGAAGGACCGCAGCTGTAGAGTGAGTGACCTCTCACCCGTAATTTCTTCAGGGGATCAATCAATCCGGCATTGTAGTCTATGAAGTTTGGCCCGCTGTGTTGGCAAAATTATTATTATTAGCATTGTATTTTATTTAACTTTCATTATGGAAGCAAATCTGTAATCCCTAAGAAACAACAAAATCTTTTTTTTTGAAATATTTTAATGGATCATATATTGCATTTTATGAACTGTCGCGTGTTCCCCCCACGCCCACCCCCTGAGACTCCATGCTTTGCCCTCCAAGTTTCACACTGGTGGCTTGTTTTGGTTTACAATGATTGACTGAATTTATTATCAATGCAATTCATATGAGAATTGGAAAAAATTAAAAGATAAATTAGACTCCCTCCGTCCCGATTTATAGTGTCTATTTCGGTTTACGATGCTTTTTGATTGAAATTATTTTCAAATCATTTTATATGACAAAATGGTGTAGAGTTAAAACATAAAAATTACATTTTAAAATACCACATTGCTAACGAAAATATTTTATTTTATCAAATTGCTAACGAAAATAGAGAAAGAAAGTGAATGAAGTTTGACTTTGTTAATAGTGAACAAGCACTATAAATTGGGACGGAAAAGTGTGTATTAAAAAATTATATAAAAAATTCAATGAAACAAGAGGTGATATGATTTAGTTGACACTGGCCAATGGTGCCACAACGTTTTTGGTGCATCTCTGGTGCTCCATTCGGAAAATTAATGTTTTCTATCCCTCCTAACTCACCCCCTAAACCCCCACCCAAACAAAGCACCGAAGCTGCTCTATAAATGCAGTGGCACTGCTAGTGAAGCTGTTTGTCAGTGTAACCGGAATTGTCCCAACAAAAATAAGAAAATGAAATGAATAAAGTATGACTCTGTGATAGTAAATAGACAATTGAATTTTGGATGGAGGGGGTGACTAACTTCTGATATACACTTTCAAGTGAATACAAAATTTGCTGTTGGTGCCAAATTTCTGGCCAATATGTACGAGGGGGGAAATTTGTTGTGAGGGCATAAAGGCTTGGGGCTTGCCTCCATATAATACAACAAAAATTATCATTTGGTTTCCCATACTTGAAGTGTAGGTCTGTACGTGTGATATGGAGATTGAGTCTTGGATATAGGACATTAGACTTACGTGTGTACCTCCAGATTTATAGAGATCGAATCTTGGATATATGACATCATATTTGGAACCTTGACGCTCATCAATAATATCATAAAAGATGGTGGATATCATCACTAAGGCCGCGTTCTGTTCGTCTTTATGATCTAGTCTGATCTAATTGAGTCAAATCTAATATAAGTTTGATTTAAATTTAAATTTAAATTAAAAATGTTATTATAATAGTTATAATAATAATAGAAATATTAATAATAATAATAGTAATAATAATAATATAATAATAATAATAATAATAGTAATAAGAATAGTGATAATAATAACTATAATAATGTTGATAATAATAGTAATAATAATAGAAATAATAATAATAATAGTAATAATAATAATAATAATAATATAAATAATAATAATAATAGTAATAGTAATAATAATATTAGTAACAGTGATAATAATAGTAATAATAATATTAAAAAGTATAGTAATAATAATAATAGTACTAAATAGTAACAATAGTAATACTAAGTACACCAAGGTTCCCATGACATTGCCCGACAATGTCATGGGATGACCCGGGGGCACACCGGTGTCCCGTTCGTAAAATTGACGGTTCCTACCCCCTAAACCCCCGGTTAACCCCCCACCCCGCCCCGACCCGAACACACCCCCACCCCCTTCAATTGCACCATACCCCACAAGTTGATTTTGACTTTGGAGTCAAATTTTGACTCTACAGTCAAAATCAACTTGTGGGGTGCAATTAAAGGAGGTGGGGGGATGTGTTTGGGGCGGGGCGGGGTGGGGGGTTTACCGGGGGGTAGGAACCGTCACTTAGTATATTCATAATAATAGTAACATTAATAGTAATAGCAATAATAATAACAGCAATAGCAATAATAATAATAATAATAATAATAATAGTAATAATAGAATTAATATTAATAGTAGTAGTAGTAATAATAATAAAAATAAAAATAAAAATTAATAATGGTAATAGTAATAATAACAATAGTAATTGTAAATATAATAATAATAGTAATAATAATAACAATAGTAATAATGATTATAATTATAATATTAATAGTAAGAGCAATAGCAATAATAATAGTAATACTAATAATAAAAATAATAATATAATTTTTTTAGTTTTGGATTGATCTAGTCTGATATAATTTTAATAGGAATAAATAATAAATAGAAAAAATAAATTGAACGGAACGTTGCCTAAATCTCTTGCCCCCCTCACTGATCAAGTTAACAAAGAGGATGAGGAAGTGCTTTCATTAGTAAATGAAGCGGATGATGAAAGAGAGAAGATGAAGAGATGAGAAATTGAAAAAAAATGGGAGGAAAATAATACTCCTTAAAATGGAGAAATAGATGCCGAAGAAAAGAGGAAAGACGCCGAAGAAAGATAGTAAACATCAAAATGGTCCAATTTTATTTCAAATGGGTAAAAAATATCACATCTAGTGTTGATTCACTTAATCACTTGTCATTTAGAGAAATAGAAAGATATTTTTTGGATGGAGGAAGTATAGTAATGGTATCGATTTTAAATTTTCATAATCAATCAAATTAGTTACAAAACTGATGCTAGCATGATTTTACACTAGTTTGCCTAATCTCTTTATGATACAAAAAATGATTAGGACCTCATTTTGGAAGAGTGTTTTTTTAAGCTTTAGCATTTTATATTAAATATTAATGGCTTAAATCTATTTTGAAAAAATATTCAAACTAAATATTGTCATTAGATATCTTTTACAAAATGTTGCCTCTGTTAGAAATTTATGAGGAAAAACGCTGCACAGCAGCATTGTTCGCAGCGTTGAAGAATTAAAGAACAAAAACATGAATTGCGACTTAATAGCTTAACGAATCATGAATGTGCTTTCCGATCAAAGTTATTTCGGGATATATCGAAATACATTAATTGGATAAGAAGTTAATCAAGAACAAGCTTTTCAAATTATCTTCTTTAGAGTTGAAGATTTTGGCCACCAGACATGAACGTTCGCGTAAATGAAGTGTACGTTCGCGCAACATGGAGAGAACCGAATTTTGCTAAAGGACGCAAGTGTTCGCGCGTTAAATTTTTTTTATTTTTTGGGTCAATTTTGGTGTTTATCCGTATGTTCGAATCTTTAGGGTTTCAGACTCCGTTAACGAAAATCTGAAGGATTTAGATACAGCAATAACGTCCAAAATAAAAAATTTCAAAGTTGTCCGACCCCGGCAAGGGACTCTACCCGGGCCCTTGGACCCCGCTACCGGACCCCCGATATAAATTTGTAATACCGTTGAACGAGTGCGCACTCCGTGCCTCCTAACTCGTTTGACAACGTCTTTTGAAATTCTTGTCCAATCTAAGTAAACACAATCACACAAAATAGCCAATGGCACTAAAATCACCAATAACATGTGCCATATAATGTTGTTATCAAATGGATTCCAAAAAATATATGGATATTTTGTAAACATAGTCACTATACTATTATAATAAGATATTTTATTATAATAGTTCTGAAAGAGATAAACATAGTCACTATACTATTATAATAAGATATTTTATTATAATAGTTATAATGAAACGGAGGTAGTATATTTTCTCATTCAAATACTATTATTCTAATTAGTTTATATACTCTTCCCGTCACAAAACTATAGTCTCTCGAATAACGTGCAAAATCTTATCTCTTTTAAAACTATTTTTGTTTATAAATAATAGAAATAAAAAGTATAAAATAAATACTCCGTATTTAAAAAAATCTATCAAAAATTCTACAAACAAGAGGTGATAAGAATATTTTATTTTATCTTATCAGATGACTTGGCTAACGTTGAGAGATCAAAATAGTAACGGTGACGATAAATCTAGTACGTATGAAGTAGTTTATTCAAATAGATAGATAGATAGATAGATTTCATCAGCGCCCGCATCCTGACACAAGTCGACCAAGCACCAATTAATCTAAGGCCAGGTATATTTTTTTCTTATTGATCCATCTTTTCTTCCTTGTCAATTTTTCATTTTGCTAGAGTATATATAAGAATGAAGAGTTTTCACTCTAAAAATGTACTCCGTACGTAGTTCACACTTGAAAGTCCATCCATCTTTGAACCTTGATGTTGTATTGTCTGCAGTTCGCTTACATGTTTGTGACTTGTTCTAATTGGTAGTATTTGTATATGTACTGCCTTTGGTTCTTTATTGGCAGTTTTTAACAACTTGTCTTTTATTTCTTTCTTTTGAAATTTGATGTGCATGAATAATACAGTATAGAAGTGCTACTCCAACCCCTGAAGATCAGAGAATGGTGCACTAATAGGAAGAAGAGTGTTCCCTCTTCATTCTTCACGCTTTCAAAAAGGAGAAAAATCTCTCTACCAGCCAGCGAATGAAAAGTGCAACTTGCAACTTGTGTGGGGGGACATGTTATGTCAAACTGCTTTAAATCCTCAAATCCATGGTTATTGTCAAAAGAAATACAAAGACATGTCCTGATAAAAATGCCTTTCTGAAAATATGTACTGAAGTATATATTTTTGTTTCAAATCTCAATCGTTGTTTTAAACTACCCGAGTATCACTTTTATATGTTGTAAAGACTCTGCTTCATATTAAATTAACTGTTTACCTTCCAAATACTGAACCAACATTCAGATTGGTCTTATTCGATTTTTCGATAACTATTGATTCGATATATATTTATATGGCTTCTTCCGAGTTTTTGGGAAACTTCAGTAACGCAGAGGTCGTTCCCCAAGTGGCAACAACGGCTTTAGACTACCTCCATCAAAGCCTTTTCAACACCCCATCGACTTGGAAACGCTGAAGAGGGTTCTGTATACCACTGATTAGATGTGCGGGTAATAAAGTTGGCTCCTGCATTTGCAGAGGTGCACAGGGAAATATATGAGTCATTATGAATGCACACATTGAGCGGAAAAAAAAAACATGTGTTCGCATTTGATCATAGATGACTAGAACTACATGGGTGCAGAGGGAAATATATCCATTCTCTCACAACGTTTATCATTAGAAATAATAGATGTATTAGGAAATAGAATATTACTATTTATTATCTTCCTTATTATGTTATTGCCTTATTGTATTGTTAATATAGTTCTTATCCTACTATGATTAGAAATTTAAAACTCTCTCTTGTAATCCCTATATTTAAGGGTGTATCCTTCAATATTCAATAAGACCAATTATTATCAAATTCTATCATGATATCACAGCTAAGGTTCTCAAAAACCTAGCCCTTCTTTTCTCGACCGAGCACATTGTCGGTCTTTATTCACGTCAGTCGACTGCTTGAAAACATGGCATCACGGACCGATCTCGACGAGCGTGTCTAACAACCGCCGTCCGTTATCCCTATCTTTCTTACCCAAAAAAATCTATTATCACTCTTCCAAAAAACCATGTGTGTTCGAAGAACAAGAAAGTTGCATTTGATTGTGTTTTTTAGAGATCGAGAGCATGAAAAGCGATAGAGAAGCAAAGAACGGCCCAAAAGGAGAAAAAAAAAGAAACTCCTTGCCCTCGCTCCAATCACCAACATTCTCTCCGGAAAAAAAAAACTCAACGTAATCTCAAGTTTCTTTGTCATGCAACAAAAATCTGACTCTCTACTTCTAGAGGCTATCCTCACAAAATTGCTTCTGCCGGCTCAATTCATGTACCTGTGCTCCAAGCTGCTCTTCGTTACAGATGATCAGCTTGCGGGAGATTATTAGGAATAATAGGTGTATTAGGAAATAGAATATTATTATATATTATCTTCCTTATTTTATTATTTCCTTATTGTATTTTTTATATAGTTCTTATCCTACTATGATTAGAACTCTCTCTTGTAATCCCTATATATAAGGGTGTACCGAGCAATATTCAATAAGACCAATTATTATCAAATTGTATCAATAATGGACAAACTAGACTACCTGCTAAAAACACAGCCTTTCCTCCCAAGGAATAGTTAGATTATGTAGTCACTCCGTCCCAAATAAATTTGATCATTGACTTCATCGAGAAGATGTGTTGAAACAATATTGAATAGTGAAAAGTGAGTGGTAAAAAAATTGTTTAGAAGAGATAAATATTTTCGACCACACATTATTTTCTAAAAAGAGAAAGAGAAGTGAACTAATTATTTTGGATCATATGGAGTATGAAAAAATAAAAGTGGGAAAAGTTTTGTGGGAGGCAGGGAGTTTTCACTTGGGCTGGTAAGCTTGTACACAGAAACTCCCATATATGTAAATTATTAAGCAAGGGACCATTTTGAGGGTGGGTGCATACTTTTATCAATTGGACGTGCGACTTCCTGCAAAAAGCTCTGTTCTAAAAATGTTAACCTAGTGTCTAGCTTGTTTTAGGGCTCAGAATAGGAGAGATGTCTTACCACTATGGCCTATTCTTTTCAACTTTTTATACCAGTTACCAATATAGACTCCAAGTTTCAAACTCCATACTCCAGTTCCAAACACCAGACTATAGTTAAAACTAAGGTGAAAAAACAAGCCCTGCACCATAGTGGCTTGACCAGATTATATTGAAAGCATCCGGGGTAGGATTAGTTTGTGCACATATTTCCTTCTAACTCCATTCAATTTAATCAAATTTTTAAAATTTTTCCTACAAGGAAAAAAACATCAATGGTAACTTATACCTGACAAGAACACATCATTGTATTCTTCATCATCATATACAAACGGTGGAGGATCAGGAGAACCAATCCCTACCATTGTGCTTCCACTGCATCATAATTAGTGGAAATGAGTATAACAACTCTATGCTAAGATAAGAATGCATTAAGTTCAAGAAGTTGCATTAAATAGTCAATATTATAGACCTTTTGAGGCACTTCAAATCAGGCATAATCTGAATGGTGTTACAGGAGTTTATGATAACAAATGAATCTTAATCAATCTCTAAAACTTGAACTCCGTCGGACCCAAAAAAGTCATGTTTGCTCAGTGTACTATGCATAAACGACATGTACAACAACAACAACAAACCCAGTGCAATTCCAACTCTGTTGGGGGTGTGGACCAATCCACCATTCATAAAAGATTAAAAGACATGTAGTCCTCATTTTCTGAAATTTATTTCTTTGGTTAACTAAATTTATCATATTATGATTTTTTAAGGAAAATTACATGAACATTAGCTCCTTTCTATGAAATATGACTTTTTTGGGGACACCCCCCCCCCCCCTTTTGCAGCAGAAATTTTCTTAGATGGACAAAGTATGATGAGATCATACCTCCCGGACATGAAAATAGCATCATATTTTCCTTGACTTGCAACAACTATTCGCTGTTTTAATCTTTTCAGGGAAGGGAGTACGTCAAATGCAGGATACTCTAAAAAAAGGTACACACATAAGATGTAAGATGAAGAGCATATTATGTCACCTTAGCATGAAATGTTCTCTGGGGTGGAAGTTAAAGGGTTTTTTTTCAAAAAGGGGCAATTTCAGTACTGTTTTGGTCAACGATTAAGCCTTATTCATAGAAACATGGGGTTCGGTTACAGTACTATTTTGGTCAATCGACCAATATCGAATAATTAATTTTTCAGTAAAATATAGAAAATCCATACCATGTTTACATTAGCATCTTTTTCATTCAGATCATTGACACAAACATGAAATGTTTGTGCAATTACACTAATATTTTGGTTAATTGACCAAAATGGAACACTACAAAAATCCATAGTATGCAAACTTACAATATTAGCACCATTTTTTACCTAAATCATTGATACAAACATGCTGAGATAATCCATTATTTGAAATACTCTCCAGCAAGCTTAACGGATTAACCTTGCTTGTCCGCTCCAATTGAAGACGCTGTATAATGAAATCTTATTTTCAAATCAATTAGAGATTCAGAAACTGAAATCTATTTTTTCAAATATTTTTTTGAATCACCTTGTAAACTTCAGCAGTGGAGCATGCTTCTTTTGGCTTTATGAGAACCATTGGAATTTCAAATGGTATAGGTGATGGGATATCTTGAACAACCTGGATAAAGAACATTTCCACATGGAAATGGAAATGGGGGAGGGAGGAAGTTGAAGACCACAAACTAATGTAATGGTTTTTTAAAAAAGAATGTGAAAATGCTTTTCCTGAATTAAAGGCATACCTCACCTCGACCAGTACAGTAGGCTGCTCCATGAGAGAAAAAAAAGGGTACATCCGAGCCAATCTCACTAGACCATTCTTGGAGATCCTTTTCAGTGGCAATACACCCATTGAATTGATTTGCTGCCCACAGAGCAGTTGCAGCATTACTGCTTCCACCACCTAGACCAGCCCCAGTAGGCACTTTCTTATCAAGATCAATCTGTTCACTTTATCAAACTCAGTATGCTGTAAGGTTAAGCACCAAAAGATAGATCTAAAAAAACATTGTCACATCAATAGTTCATTTTAACGTTTGAAAATTTTACCCAAAAGTACTTGTTACTTCCAGTCTTTTCCCTGTAAAGATTGAGAGCCTTAAGTATCTGCAAAGTGCCAAAGTAGCAAAGTTCAAATTCAAAGGGGTTTAAAATCATAAAAATATTAAACATGAATGAAAAAACTGTTTTACCAAATTTCTCTCATCAAGGGGGACACCGGGAACATTCGTCGATAAATGGTCTTTCGTCATTGTTTCCAACACAGAAAATTTTATTTTATCTCCTAGACTAATTACCTGAAGTAACAAAAGGGCATACCAAAATGTCATTATAGTTTTAACTATCCATAGAAGATCACACAACATACAAGCACTCCTCATTTTACCAAAAGAGAAATAAAGTTGAGAACAATGTATTGACAGGTTAAACTAGTCATTTGAACCTAATGCCGCTTTTCAAATAACCTCTATATCCATCAATAGAAATAAGGACAACATACTTGTACCGATTCAATCTGATTGGTACACTATGTTTGATGTTAATGATGATGAAAACTAGTAATCATTCAACAAGGTATTTCCAAGGAGGTAAAAAAGTCATCATTGAAGCTGTTTTTAGCTTCGGGTAAATAATGGGTGAAATCAAAATGGAACGGTAGACATACTTCTCTTCTTGTTTTCTACCAAGTTTTGGGTAGTAAATGCAGCATGCATCAATGGTCTGGCAAACAGAGTTTCTCTCTTTTGTACACGGGTAAGACTGCATGAATCTTGACCCCCACACCCCACCAAAGATGGGGTTTTATTGTGCTTTATTGTTGTTTAGGACGTCTTTTTTGGTTCTATTAGATTTCCTGTAACCATTGTGTATTGGTGGCCACATCAATTTCCTAAAAATCTACTCAAAAGAAACTTTCATCTTAATTATGTTTCCATCTAGAAAAATACACTAGAAACGTGCTTACGTGAAACAGGGATGCTAAATCATGAAACCCGTCTTCCCTTTTGCCTGTTATTCTCAAGAAAACATTTATCTATATAGTACACAAAGACACAAACACAACAGTGAGAGAATGAAGTATATATGATTACATCATATATGCATATAAAGACAAAATGATGGATAGATCAAAGAGTCAGTTTGGTAAAGGTGCATTGCGTTGAAATGTCTGCAATTGAAAGTTGTTGAAATTAAGGCTGAAACAGATGAAGTCGTTGAACTTCCAAAATTATAATATACAAAAAACTTACATACATTTTTATAATAATATACATAAGATAGTACTCCCTCCGTCCTATAATGTTCTTCTCGGTTCATTTTACTAGGTTTGGCCGACTTTATTTTCAATTCAATTTATTTGATTGTAGGTGTAAAATTAAAAAATAAAATTTATATATTTAAAAACTACATCAAAAGTTCTACAAAACAAGTGGTGACAAGACTATATTATTTTATCAAATACCTAATGAAAATAGGTAAAGAAAGTGATTAAAGTTTGACCGGGTAAAAAGTGAGTGGGAAGAACATTTTAGGACGGAGGGAGTATGAGATAGTATATGACTATAATAATACCCTTAAAATTGTAATCTTCATTCATTTCCACAACTATACAAAAAACTTTATCCACAAATTTGTTTGTCAACAACTATTTCACCCAACAATTTCCACAAAAAAAACTTTATGCACAACTTTGTTTGTCATTTTACTTGTAACAAAGGCTCATTTAACTGCAGAAAATCACTTGTTTTGCAAATGATGGATGTACAACTATCATGCTACATCTAAATGTATAATATAAGTGTCACTTAACTCACCTTACAAGGAGAAAACAGTGTCATCCCTGCAAGCCCGGTCTCCTCATCAACTTCATCAGCCAATTTATTAGAATTTTCTTCTCTGCCGTACCCTGTCTATCAAAATCACCAAAAACAACAAAATTTAGAAAAATATAGACAATAGATTAATGATTAAATACTGTGGAATTTAAGAAAAAAAGAACCCATATGCAGAAAAGGAATACCTGTACTCCTTTTCTGGTAGCTCGATGATCTGGAGCTGTGGCACTGACGCGAAGAGCTCTTCCGAAATGGGATTTCACGTGGAAAGGAGATGGAGGCCAATTTGGCGACGAAGAAGAAAGCGACGAACAGTGTTTCCTGAGGGAATGAATGTGGGTGTTGCCGCTGTGGAGTTGGTGACTGCAGAAGAAAATTGAGGAAGACATTGTAGACGGATTGTATTGGAATTTGGAAAAGGAATGCGTAAATGTTCCCCCAAAAGACAGAGTTAAGAAGGGATGAGCACCTGTCCAAGACGGAGCCCCAACGGGTTTGATTACAAATTGTACCCCAATTTGTACCCCGCAGTTTTGCACCAACACTTTGTGTAAGTGTTGGTGTAAAACTAATTTTTGTTAAATGCACCAACATTTGTGTCCGTGTGAATTTTTATTAACGCACCAACACTTGTGTCGGTGTAAACCATCGAAATGTTTGTGCAAACCTGTGGTGTACAAATGGGGTATATTTTTTGGTGTAAGTGTAGCATGGTCCTTTCAAAAATGATTTACCCAACGCTGGACGTGGTAAGGACTAAGAGACTATTTGGGATTACCGTTAGCTATTAGCGTTAGCGTTTTGAAAATGCTATCCACGGACAGCATTTAGCATTAGCGTTTTTCAAAGTAATCTGCACCGTTAAAATTTTATCCAAAACGCTAACGCTAATCTCTAACGCTATTTCCAAACAGGCCCTAAGGAGTCTAATGGCTAGGGGTGTACACGGTACGGTTCTGGGACGGTTCCGGTTCCGGTATCGCCACCCCTTAAGAACCGCTACCGTGACCAAACCGGACAGTACCGGTTCCAGTACATGTACCGGCGGTTCTGGTATTGTACTAGCTGGTCTCGGCAACCCCCCCTATTTTTTAAAAAATTTTGAAAAATGTAAATGTGTAATTGTTAAATGAAATAATGAAATAAAAGATCTAAAAATGTAGTTGTTATTTAAATATTGTAAAATGAGTAATACACAAACTGAAAAACAACTATATTTAAAATCCTGACGGTTCAAAAAAAGCGACGAGGTAAAGAACCGTAAAGAAACCCTCGAAGGAGCTTATATATCGCTCACCTAAAAAAATTAATTACATATTAACATTAACATAAAAAAAGTTTATAACTTATTCCTCAAAACTAGGGCTTCCATCTGTGGTTGCTCTTGAGCTCGACGTTTTGCCAAGAGCCAATCTCGGTTGCAAATAAGTGTTTCAAGAAATTCAGCGCTAAGATAACTTCAGTAGTCGGTTAGAATATTGCCGCTAGGACTGAATTCTTGTTCCACTGATACGGTTGATACCGGGACGGATAAAACTTGTCTTGCTAGCATTACGAGATATGGAAACATGTGTTCGTTCCGCTTCCACCATGCGATGACGTCAAACTCCGCGTCGTCGTAATCACATGGCACCCCTTGGTACATAGCAAGTTCGTTGTGCGAGCTTACAGTTATACCACTTGAACTCGTCGAAGGCTGACCACGCTTACCTTTTCTTGCCAAAAGCCCACCGACTATTCCTTTAAGACCTTTTTTTGATTTGGGGGCGGAGGATGTGTTGTTTCTTCCGATGCATTACTGTATATTCCTTGAAATTCTTTAAATATAGCCTCAACTTTCTTGTGCGCATTCTATTAAATGGTTGTAATAATAATTATTTTCATCTAAAAAACAAGTGTAGTAATAGTCAATCAGAATTTTAAAATTTTCAATCTTAAAGCGAGGATCACAAATAATACTAATTTTATAAGAGAAATTTACCTAAATAGGACTAAAACATAATGACTTTCCAAATATAGGACCATATGTTTTTATTTTCCAATGTAGGACCTTTGGTCATTATTAATTAGTCATTATTCAAGTAAATGTCCATCATTATTGGACATTATTCCTCCCACTAGACATTATTAAGTTCTATTTAAGGAATAAAAAAGGTTAAGTTCGAAATTGGGAAATGACTTATGTTTTAGTCCTATTTAGTGCAAATTTCACATTTTATAAATATCAGAAATGTAGAAATAATAAACACACCATTTAGATAGTTTTCTATATCTAGTCCTTATTTATCAAATATTACAAGCGTATTCCCTACTTCTTTGGTTCTTTTCCACGACCAGTTCTCCGTCACTCCTACTGTTATCTACTTGTTCAATATAGAGTTGAAGTAGTAATTCCATACACCCCTCTCTCAATTAAATTACCCCTCGTCATTCTCATCAAAATACAGTAAATTACCTAATGATTTTACTAATACATGGTTTTCTATATTTATTTCCTACTTATCAAATATTAAGATTGTAATTTCGATTGAGGGTTGAAGCAGTAATATCTAATACATACTATCTCCATACAGTGTATTCGTTCAGTTTGATTTTTTCTAATCAAATTAGATGAATTTTAGATCTCAATTAGATAAAAATGATAATATATTTTAACATAAAAATTATTTCAATATATTTATCTTACTGAAAACTATTAAGATTTTAATTTGTTGTATTGATATACAATACAAATTTTAATCAATTTAACTCGAAAAAATACATACTCCCTCCGTCCGGGAAAAATCTTCCCATTTGGACTTTTTCTCATTTTTTTGAATGGTTGACTTTGGAAGGGAAATGTCTAATATACCCTTCATTTCTTACATGTTTTACTCTTTTACAGCCCCAACACCACCCTAGTCTCTGCCGAGGCTAGCACCCACCGTCCCCCCAATCATCGCCGGCGAATGACCAGCCCCCACCACTCTCGCCCAAACCCTTAACACCATCGCCCTCCCAACCTTCAGCACCTTCCCACCATCGTCTATAGCCGCCACCATCTCTACCTCTGAGGGACAGAGAAAAGGGAACAGATCTACCGTAGATCTGCGAAAGAGGGAAGAGAAGAATTGGAAAAAGAGAGAAGAAGAACCGTAGATCTGCGAGAGAGGGAAGAGAAGAATTAGAAAAAGAGAAGAAGAACCGTAGATCTACAAGAGAGGGAAGAGAAGAATTGGAAAAAGAGAAGAAGAAGAAGAAGAAAGACGAACTAATTTGGAGAAAGAACAGGGGGAGAAGAAGAATAAGGGGAAAAGAAGAAGAAAAAGAGAAGAGGAAGGAGAGAAGGAAGGCTTGATGAGGAGGAACGGATGAAAAATAGAGAAGAGGGAGGAGAGAAGGAGAAAAGGATAAGGTGTGAGTGACGAGGAAATGAGGGAGGGGAGAAAAAGGGGAGAGGAGAGAGATAGAGTGAAAATGGTAAGTGGAGTATTTTGGGTAGTTAGTGTATCAAAAATTGAAATGGAAAAATTATTTCCGGACTGAGAAAAAGGAGAAATGAGGGAGTACTAAATAAGTTCTCCCCTCCCGGTTCGGATCAGCAACCATGTCCAATGTCTCCAAATGACAGCAAAAGTTGTCGCGAACATATAATAAATTCGCAACACCGCACATTCCAAATCGTCCCACCTGCCTGCATTCCTTGCAAATTGCAATCGGCTATTCACTGTTCACGAGAGCCCTAAAGAAGATTTCAAGCTCTTCCTTAGATCATTTCTACCTTTGATTTTCCCGCTATGATTTTCTCCCTTTTGGAAGTTTAGCTGCTCAAGATTTACCCATGGCGGAGATGAACAACAGCGCCCCGCTGGCGCCGCAGACCAGCTCGCGATCTGTGACGGAGACGATCAACGGATCTCACCGGTTCGTGATCCAGGGGTACTCGTTGGCCAAGGGCATGGGGATCGGGAAACATATTGCCAGTGACAATTTCACCGTCGGCGGTCACCAATGGGCTATCTACTTTTACCCGGACGGTAAAAACCCAGAAGACAATTCGACGTACGTTTCCGTTTTCATTGCTTTGGCGAGTGAGGGGACTGATGTTAGGGCCTTGTTCGAGCTGACTCTGATTGATCAGAGCGGAAAGGGCAGGCACAAGGTCCACAGCCACTTCGATCGATCCCTTGAGACTGGTCCCTACACTTTGAAATACCGTGGCAGCATGTGGTAATTTCTTTAAATTATATCTCTTGAACTAATGTTTTCAGGTTCACGAGTTATTTGGCGGGCATTTAAAAATGAAATGATTTGAAGTTAATCCATCACACTTTGCTTGTGCCTACAGATGTTTTTCAGCATTCTCACTGAGATATCTGTTCAAGCTTACTAGGTTCTATTGGTTTCTATAGATATCTGAAAAATAAAGAAGTTAAAGTCTTAAAGGATGCTTGTTTGACAAGTAAGAAGTGAATACAGTTATGGACCGTATCTTTGAGTTGTTATGCACGCATTGTGAAAATATGAAATACACAGTTATCTTTGTGGTGCATAACTATTCAGAGGGAAGAAAAGAGAGATTATATATATATATATATATATATATATATATATATATATATGTATCAAAATGAAATACAATCACCGTTATCCTCGTGGTACCAAAACAGTGGACCAATACTTTTTGAGTCTTGGTGCCATAAAGCCACATGCTATGACTATTTATGACTAAAATTTAACAATAACCTTGTATATAGGTTATAGGTCTAGGTGTGTACATAGTTTGGTTGCTTGTTCATTTTTTGAAATTAATGCTCCCTCATTCCCGAACCTCTTTGGTAGACCTGGCAAAACAGAACCGGAACCGATTACCCGAACCGAAATATCCGAAACCGAAACCGGAATGATCCGAAAAATGAAGATCCGATCTATAACCGAAAACCCGAAATGATCCGAACCGAACCGAAACCGAACTAAATAATTCATATCCGATTTAAATCCGAAACCGATTAGATCCGAAACCGATAATATCCGAACCGATTAAACCCGAAACCGATTAGATCCGGACCCGATAATACCCAAAACCGATTAGATCTGAAACCGATAATATCCGAACTCGATTAGAACTAAAATCGATAAATTCAGAACTATGTTTATCTTTCAATAAGCATATTATATTTTAAAATTTTTACTTTTATTTTACCATTTGAACTAGTTACATTACTTGCTCATTCCCTCATAAAATGGATTATCTTCTTGAAAAAAAGTACAAATTTTTATGCTTTAAATTTATTATATGTAGAAATTAAAGATAAGTTATACATATAAATGATAACGCACAAACAAATAAAATTTCGGTAATTTTTAAATAGTGATTTACCTCAATTTTTACCAAATTCTATTCAAATGGAACATAAGACTATTTGAATTTATCTTTTATCCTTTCATTTATATACATAAGTATATTAGTAGATGTGAGAAAATTTGTATATTTCAAAACTAAATTTTAAAATCAATTTAATTATATTAAATTTATATCATAATTAAATATATATGTTTTCATAATTTGTAGTCCAAATTTGTAAAATATGACTAAAAAGTCAAAAGGGGAAAATTAGAAAATAATATACATCCAAAATATATTTGATCCGAAACCGAAATATATCCGAACCGAACTAGACCCGAAACCAAAATATATCCGACTCAAATTGTATCCGAACCAAAATCTATCCAAACCGATTTATAACCGAACCGTGTCTGAACCGACTCGAAATCGAATCGAACCGAAAAATGTATAGAACCGAAATCAAATCCGAACCGAAATTTAACCGATCCGAACCGAACCGAACCGATTATAACATATAACCGAAAGATATCCGAACCGAAAAAATCCAACCCGAAATCGATCCGGTTGATCCGATTGCCACCTCTACTCTTTGGTGTGAGGTGTGACTTCATTAAGTTTAAGAGAAGTGTTGAAAAGCAAAAAGGCTGGTGGTTGGAATTTAATTAGAGAAGAGAGAAAGACTGTGAGCCGCATATTTCTTTCCTCAAATGGAAAAATGAGAAGAGAAGTATATTTTGGGAAAACCATAAAAGGAAAGTGTGGAGTTTATTTTGGAACGGTGTGAATATCTTTTATTTTTTCAGTACAGTCATATCGCAGTCGGTGTTGTTCAATGGTGCCCCTGGCAGAACACTCTGGTAGATATTGCAATTCTGGCATGTGCACAAGCTTAAATTTAGACTTATTGTGTTTGAGAAAGACATTCATGTGTTTATGTGGGTCGTTAATGAGTCACGCACACTACTCACTATCTGCATCATGCAATGTATGTTGCAATTGTGGAAGGCAATCTTATGAGTCTATGTGCCAATAGCACTTCCACCAACTATTAGGCAAAGTGTTTGTGAATAGACAGCTCTTTCTCTTCTGTGGAAATGATCCATTGAGGAAGATGCCTTTATTGAAATTTTATGTTTTTCTTTAAGGAGATTTTCTAGTTTTCCAGCGTTAAATTTATGTACTACTATGTCAAATTTCATTGTGATCATATTAATGCACATAGTGAAACTGAATTCTAATTTGGTTCTCAAATTCTACGTTTTAAATTCCCATCACTTGGAAATTTTAGATGATTATTCGCAGCATAATTAGTGAAGTATGCAAGTGTAGGGTGTTCTTTACTTGAGATTTAATTGACTTCTCTGCATGTCATGTATTTATGGTTCCTATAAATTCATGTCATTCTTGGATCATTTGCTTTGTCATTTACTCTCTACACTCTTTGCCCCCTTACTACACATACTTTACTTTCATGTTGTCCTTCCAACTAATGCAATTAATGATGCATTGGAGTATATTTTAAAGTAAAAGTAAAATACATCGCTAGGATTTTATTCATAGTTATGAAAGGCGTTCGCCGTGGTTGCCTATGGCGGTTATGGCGCTGTGGTGACCCTCCATCGCCTGAAATCGGTCGACCGAGGTGAGGTGAGGTAGGCACACCATGGCAGTTGCCATTTTCGCTATTATTTACGGCACAAGGCGGTTGCTACCAGCGCCTTTCTGATCGGTCAAAGATTCTGGACTAACCTTGACCTAATTTTGTTTTTTACCTAAACCTAATTAAGTACCTGGACTGAACTTGACCCAATTTGAATCCGCTTCATGTCCCTATGTGTTCCTCTATTATCGCACTTCAGCCAACTCCAGCGGAAGTCGCGCAGCGCCACAGACTTTAGCCATCACACAGCACTTAGCCTTCTTCCGCAACGCATGTCGCTCAGCCCTTCCAATTTGTGAGCAAGTATATTATTCTTAAACTCAGTATCTTTTTATTCGGTATTTATAATCTTTAATTAATATTAATGATTACTGATTACTATTATTTTTTCAATTTCAGTATTACTCTTCAAATTTTATGATTTGTTTAATTGATTTTAGAGATGAGAAAAATAATAAATTTTTATTATTGATTATTTTTCTTTCACTAAATTATCCATTTGGTGTAAGATTACCCCCTCCCCTGTACTACTATATGTGTGTGTGTGTGTAATTATTTATATCTGTTTTCCTTTTTTTGTTTGCTATTTGACCGCCCGTCACTCGCCTCTCGCCTCAAAAAAAGGTCCTCGCCCGTCGCTCACCTCTTGCCTTTCATAACTATGAATATTGTTAACTAGTATTTATTGATTTGTGTTGAACAAATTGTGGACTATCTTTGTGGGACAGAGGGGGTTCTCTGGCACAGCAAATAAGAGGGTCTGTAAATAACTTAAGTGAAACCTTTTTTCAGTATTATTCCACATTTCTGTCCAGTTTAGAGAGCAGTGGTCTCAATTATCCCACATAAAACCCTCTTGTTTATGTAAAGAACCTCTCCTTTTTGGTTTTACATATTAGTGCATTGCTCTTATTAATATCACAACTGCTCCTTTTCTTCTTTTTTTCTTTCCTACAGAACAATTCTTTTATGATGACAAGACAGCAATGATATATGATCTGTGGGATTGATCTTTTCTCATGCATTTGATATTTATGTTAAACTTGCGTGATTTTTGCAAAGTGCTAAACTATATGCACAACAAAGTATTGTGTTTTTTGTGTGTGTTTTTCATAGGTAAGCGCTATTATCTTTCAACTATCAAAAGCAATATGTGTTTCCATATATACTGTGCTACAAATATGCCTTTCGTTATGCCTTTAATTTTCCAACAAAGGGTTTTTTCTCTTAATTTTTATCTTATATATATGTGTGTGGTGTGTGTGTGTGTATATAAAATAAGTTTGAGAGTTTTTATAAGCTATGGTTTGTTTAGTTACATTTTATTTGTAGTCTGTTTTCATGCATGCAATGCTCTTATACCATGGGTAGGCTTTTATTTCTTTTTAACTAATGCCTCATCTTTAGGGGTGAGGATGAAGATGGTTTCCTTGGAAGGAATTTGGGGCTGACAATTTTGAGTTGTCTATCTCTAGAAACATGTTGGATTTGCTTTAGCCAATAACTTATTTGACTAATTGCCGACTAGTCGTCAAGTTTGCATTCGGTCAGCAGAGGAGGGAGGACTACTGATGACGACTTACAACTGGTGTATGAATGAATGCACAATTCGATTGAAAACCCTAGTCTATAGTGCAAGTCTTCCACTTGAATCTTTATCGACCTTGGCTGACACATAGATTGACTTGGAACCCAACCTTATCACCTCCAGATCTATCACAATTTTGACACCATGGCCAAAGACGCCGTTCCAGGTTAATTTATGTTTTAGTTGTTGGTCATGCCAGTTTGCCTTGTTTTGTTTCTCTTTTTATTTTTTGTTCGCGGTGTCTATTTTTTATTCTCAATTTTGTTCTCTTTAGCTAATGGTAAGGAGTATTATTTTTTTTGTTATGCTTTTATTTGGTTGAAAGTATACAAACTGTTTTATGTAGTTTCATTTTTTATGAAGATGGTTAGTTTGTGTTTCCTGTGCTGATTGAGTTGTACTCCGTATATATTTCAGATTTTTTGTTTTTTATTTAATCGTCATTCTCACATTTTGTTGTATAATTTACTTTTATGTTTTATTTGCTTTTAACTTTTGTTTAGTGCCCCTTTATATTTTCTATTTATTTTTGAACACCTCTGATTTAGTTGCTGGGGTCTCTTGGAAACTGCCTCCCTTCTTTCGAGTAGGTGTAAGGGCTGCGTAGACACACCCCCAGACCTTACTTTCGTGGGATTGAACTAGGTTGTTGCTCAGTGATTTAATCATGTTTATTTTACAATGCATTACCTATTTTGACTTATGAACTAATCATCGAGTAGTCTAGCGACTTGCCACTAGTCAGTCGACATTATAATAATGCAATGTAAGAACACTGACAAACTGTTCAGTATGAGGAGAAGCCATCATTTTCCCCTAAATATTAGTAAATAGAAAACATGCTTATCTTTTGGGGTGCTGTACTACAAAAACAACCACAAACCCTATGTTTGGGGGTCGTGTATAACTACAAAAGATTCTGTTCTCAGGACTACATGTATTCATTTTTTATTTTCCAAATTTTGCAAAAAATGTGTACTTAAACACTTTTTCAAATGTAGAAAACAAAAGATTGTTCTCAATTTTTTATTTTTTCCCTCAAAAACTAGAAAACATCTTTATTACGTTTTCTATAATACATAACATTTTTTCGGGAAAATAGTGAACTAATTAAAATTGACACGTTAAACATCCCTCGTTTCACACTACACGCCCAATCCCTCCCCACCACCTCTCTTGTGACTCGTGCTAACCCTGACATAATCTCTACTCCATGCAACTATTGGCATTGCTAAGTTGGTAACCATTAATATCGCCAATGACTGGTGTTATCGTTAGTTCTATTTTTTCCCGTTGGTTGCTTGTGTTAACCGTCATTATCATCGAAAAAACATTGTCTAACAACCAACATCTCTAACAACCACTGCTGCTGTTGGCAACCCCATACCCATCACCTTTTGACCACCACTATTGTCATAGCCCTCACCATTGACCCATAGTTTTGAAAGGCAAGTGCCTCCCTTGCCTAAGGCGCCTCAGGCGACCTTCTACCACCTCAAGGTGGTCAGGCGAAGCAAGGTTGGTGCACTTGAGTCGAATGCCTTCCTTGCCTCAACCATCGCTTCAGGGGAACGACTTTTGCACTTCATCCTAACCTAGTACTTTAATTGTTCTCTTTAACATGTACTCCATATGGCTTACTTTTGATTGACATTATTAACTGCACTGTATATAGAAATACGACCATTGTTGCTGTTAGCAGAGATGTGGGGTTAAAAGGTGGTTAAACATGTTTGTGACCACCACCACTATACTAGCCGACCAGCTCAAGTGGTCCCCATATTGTGAAATTGGATATATGTGTTAAAGTCTTAAAGATGTTTTTCAAGTTAGAAAATAAAGAAATAGAAGATTGAGAGTGAATATTATGAAAACAAAAAACACAAAACATGAACAAGAGACTGCAAAACAATAAATAGACGTAAAGGAGCCCTTATTTTCTCTATTATCTTTCTGGCCTCAACTGCCTCAAACTCCACTTCTAACAGTTTCCCACATTGAAATTTTTAGGGGATACAAACGTTTTTTCAGGCGTGTAATGCTGGAAACGTCTGATTATCTAAAGGATGACTGTTTGAAAATTAATTGTACTGTTGGAGTCGTGCGCTCTACAATAGACTTGGCAACCCTGCCTTCCATTCACGTTCCTGATTCAGATATTGGAGCACATTTTGGCATGCTTCTAGAAAACATGGAAGAGTCTGATATTACTTTCAATGTTTCTGGTGAAAAGTTTCGTGCCCATAAGCTGGTAATGGCTGCTCGTTCTCCCATTTTTCGTTCAGAGTTCTTTGATGGACAGGAGAGTGATGAGATGGACATTGCTGTTAGTAATATGGAACCCAAGGTCTTCAAGGTGTGAAGACTTTATTACTACTGGTTTGTTTTCCGGGTTCTTTTTGGAATTAAATTACCACTAAATGTTTTAGCCTTCACGAGCTGCAGCAGTATTTACGAAGATGTTCCTCTGCTACATTGATCTCTCCACTGACTGGTACTTCTGATTTTTTGTGTGTGTGTGTGATATACAACAGGCTATGCTGCACTTTGTGTACACAGATGCTCTTTTGGTAGATGATCTAGAATCATCTAGCTCTTCTAGTATAACCTCAGTGGCTGATGCATTAGCAGCAAAGTTGCTTGAAGCAGCCGATCGATATGATCTGGGAAGACTCAAGCAGATGTGTGAAGCTTATCTATGCAAAGATATAACAGTGGACTCAGTTGCAAAGATGCTAGCTCTTGCAGACTGTTATCATGCCATGGAACTCAAAGCCGTCTGCCTTAGATTTGCTGCTGAAAACCTTGCTGGTATGTATCAGTTATTCAGTTGTATATACTGTCTTTTTTGCTGCCCCTCTATGCACATGATTCTGTAGCATCAGTTGTGATATGTGAAAAAGCACATACATTACGCATGCCACACTTGTGTGAGCTGAATATGGGAGTCGGGAAATGGTATCCCACTCTTCTAAGGCTATTTTATTTTGACTTTGGATAATATGAAAGAAAATCAAATTTGATTATATCTTTGTTTCAAGAAACACTCCCTCCGTCCCAAAAAGTCCTTTCTTTATTTTTGTGTCCCACAAAGTTCTTTCTTTTTCTATTAAAAAACCACTCTTACCCCTAATAATTCTTACCCTACCTATCACATCATACCTTTTTACTAATAATCTATCCATGACATCAAGGGTATTTTTGGAAAGCCAACACAAAAATATCCCTCCCTTAAATTTCTTAAAAGTCAAAATGAGAACAACTTTATGCGACGGAGGAAGTATTTAGTTTCCTTAGTCTATTAAAATAAGTTTTGAACAAATATCTAAAGTTGATATCTTTCCCGCATCTTTCCTTCCAAATTTCTTCCCAATTTTCTTTCCTTGGCATTTTCCACCACGATATGTTTTTGGTATGCATGCTTTCTTGCACCCAATATATCTGTTCTTATAGCTTAAACTAAATAAATTAAAAAAAAGTTATACATGTGCATTTGTCTTGATTCATTGTGAGTCCAACAGTCTATCTTCAAACCCATCTCTTTTAGTGTGCTTCATCTCATATTCTCATCTTGGGAATACTTGGGATATTAATATATTACATGCGGTGAAAATATGCTGAGTAAATAATGGGAAAAATCCTAGGTAGGGGCGTTATTACTGTTGGCAATTTTTTTGAGGGCTTTGGATCTGTGTTGCAGCTGTGATGCAAACAGATGGCTTTGAGTACCTGAAAGAGAACTGCCCGTCTCTTCAGTCGGAACTTCTGAAGACAGTGGCTGGTTGTGATGATGATGATTGTAGCAGCGGAGGGGGGAAGTCTAGGAGCGTTTGGGCACATCTTTCAGACAGTGGTGGAACTGATGGAAGGAGGGTACGCCAAAGGACCTGATTGGCGGCGCTTTCTCTAGGGCTGTTTTTGCCAAACTGATGTTTGTTGTTGTTGTAATAGAATGAAACTTGTAAGATAACAGCGTGTTAGGGATCAAAAAGTATTTCACAATCCTCATGACACCATTTGCACAGAAAATGTGTTAGTAGTATTCATAGTTAGTGCCCACCCCTTAATTTTGCTAATGGGAGGATGATATATTGCACAACATCATGTTCTGATCGACAAGAAAGATTAATTTCCTGCTAGAAAGATTACTTTCCGCTGGATTCCACAGCTACACGAGACCAAAGACGGTTTTCCGAATGATAAAAGTTGTGCCAAATTCTTTGCTGCGTCCTAAACCCTCCTAACATAAGGGGTGATCATGGTACGGTATTTAGGTTGTGTGGATACCGTACCAAATATATTGGTTTGGTTTGAGAGTTTACGTCGTACTGATCCTGATGCCAAAATTCCGGTTCGGTATGGTTCGGAGTCATTCAGGATCAGTTTCGGTTCAAATCAGAATGTCACAAAATCATTTATGTTTGAAAAACCGAAAGTATATTTAAGTAACATAAAAAACTAAAAAAAAATTATATGCTAGAAATGTTTATGAAACTTTGTTTATATTTCACAAACTAAAGTGAACAAATGATAACAAAATGATATCTGAAATTTATGTTAATATTTTTAAATTCATCTACAAAAATGAAATTCAAATAAAAATACAATCTACACATAATAAAATTTGAACTAAATTTTATAAATAAAACTTTTTATTTAATAATAAAATTTAAAAAGATTATTATATTTATAATGTATTATTATATATATTCGGTTATGAAATTTTAGAATGAGAAGTTATTTGTACCCTTCCCAAATGTCGAACCAAAAAATCAGTTTGGTATGGTTTGATACTTTAGCGGTATTTTTTCGATTAGTATTTTCCAATTCGGTTTTCTTAGTTTTTTAAGGAAATTTCAGTATCATTTTGGAACTTACTCCCCCGACCTAAATGACATTTAGCAACTTATATTATACAACCGGTTGTACCATCCTTTGGTATATCCTAGTTGCATTTTGATACAGGCTTAACAAGTTAGGGACTGTTTGGCAACTTCTGAATCGGTAAGTGCTGAACCAGTAAAAGGTCTGAACCATTAAGTGCTGAACCAGTAAGAGGTCTGAACCATTAAGAGCTAGTATATTGCTTAACTATTCAGAGGCAAATGTCTGATCAATTCAGATAAGAAGTCTTAACCATTCAGACTTTGTATAATACTTAACCATTCAGAGGCAAATCTCTTAACCATTCAGATATCTGAACCATTAAGAGGATGAAACAAACAATCTGAACCATTAAGTGCTGAACCATTCAGACATCTGAACCATTAAGAGGCTGAAACAAACAGCCCCTTAGTTGGGTTGTTAGGGAGCTGTTATGAGTTAGGATTCTAAGTGATTTGGTTGTATTCTTCGTTTATAAATACATCTTGTAAGCCTGTAAATGGAATAAGAAAGATACAATTCATTCTCAACTTTATCTTCTTCCTCTCTCTCTCTCTCTCTCTGTTAATCTCAGATGATAGCACAGAATAATTGGAGCTTCTTCTCTCATTTGGCTCCTAGTTCTGTGGCTGTAGATACTCGAATCCATCAGTGATTCCTGTTCTACATCATTGGTATCAGAGCTCCATGTTCTTATGATCTGTGGATCGACAATGGCGCCTGCGAGAAAAGATCAAGCAACCACCATGGATGAGCAAATCAAAAGCTTACAAGAAACAATTCAGATGCAATTCCAGATGCAACAACGACAGATGATGGAATTGAGACAGGAGATTATGCAAATGATGACTCAACTCACTCAATGAAACCGTAAGGAGCGTGAAGAAGTCTCAGGAAGTGTCTCTCGAACGCCATACTCAGTGCATTCGACGGCCATGGATCACAATAAGCATCATTTGGGGTACACTCCTAAACTCCAATTTCCAACTTTAACGGTGATAATGCACGTCAATGGATTAAGAAGTGCAAGAAGTTTTTTGATCTTTGTAAAATTCCCAAGGATCAAACATTAGATTTAATGTCTTTACACATGGTTGATAAAGCTGAGGTATGGTTGAATGGTTATATGTTTTCTTTGAGGCATGTGGAGTAGGAGGAATTTGTCTCTAATCTATATGCTAGATTCCCTGATGAGAAGGGTAGCAATATAGTAGAAATTTTTAAGAGGCTTGAACAAACTGATTCTCTTGAAGAGTATATTGATGTATTTGAGAGCCTAAAAGCCTTGATGTTACAGAAGAACAAGTATCTAGTCATCTAGATATGGAGTATTTTATGGAAAGTTTTGTTGGTGGTTTGAAGCCTGAACTCAGAGCATTTGTGAGGGCATTTCAACCTAAAACGATTGCTAAAGCTATTGAACTAGCTAGGTTGCAAGAAGAGAACCTGTCACTCTCACAGAATTTTCCTAAGTTAAGCTCTAATTCAAGGCAGACTTCTCAAATTACCAAGCAAACTCCAATTTTACCTACTCCAACATCTTACTCAAAGAACTCATATGTGACTCCTCACAAAAATACTCCATCCAACAGTAGTAGCACCGGTAGCTCTGCCTCAACTACCGAAAAACTCTTGAAAATGCCCACAAGGAAAGAAACGGATGAGAGAAAGGCAAAGTGGTTGTGCATATACTGTGGGGATCCTTATACCCCTGGCCACCACTTGACTCATAAGAGGCCTACCCTATTTTTGATTGAAACTGATGAAGAGGTTGAAGAACAATCAGTGGAAGGTGAAGATTTTGAAAAAGAGCAAGCACTCACCATGGCTTGCATACCAGTGAATGCCATGACTGGCTCTTCTGCTTTTCAAACTATGAGAGTGACTGGCTTATGTGATAAAAAGCCCTTGCAGATCTTAATTGACTGTGGAAGTACACACAACTTTTTGGATGAAGATACAACAAAGAGGTTTGGGGATCCCAGGGGAGACATCAAACCTATGACTGTACAGGTTGCTGATGGAAATAAACTCTAGGTTGCTAAAATGTGTAGAGGACTGTTATGGCAATTACAGAACACTAGATTCACTGTGGACTTAATGATTTTACCATTACGTTCTTGTGATATGGTGTTGGGAGTTCAATGGTTATCCACACTGGGTCCCATAATATGGGATTTTCAAACAATGGCAATGGAGTTTCATATAGCTGGGAAAAACCATCTACTAAGAGGTTTGACAGACAAAGCTTTCAAAATAATGGATGCTAGACATCTGAATAAAATGTTGGAAAAGGAAGGTCAATTTGCACTTTTGTAATTAGCTCTCTGTCCTTCAGAATGCCTAGTAGCTGAAGCCCATTGTTCAATGCTGTTAGCCTCAATGGCACAGTCCCACACGAAGGACATGGATTCTTTGATAGACCAGTATGCTGATCTTTTTGAGGAAACAAATGTTCTTCCACTAATACGTGAATAATTTGACCACAGGATCTATATCAAGGTAGGGGCTCAACCTGTTAACAACAGACCTTATAGGTATCCTGCTGTCCAGAAAAATATAATTGCAAAGATCGTGACTGAAATGCTGCATAAAGGTACCATTCAGGTCAGCAGCAGTCCATATGCTTCTCCTATGATTTTGGTTGGGAAAAAAGATGGTTCATGGAGGTTCTGTGTGGATTATAGAGACCTCAACAGCCAAACCATCAAAGATAAGTTCCCCATCCCTTTACTAGAGGATCTACTTGATGAACTGGGGGGATGCACTGTTTTTACCAAGCTGGACTTGAGATCTGGATATCACCAACTGAGGTTGTACAAAGGATGATGTGTACAAAACAGCATTTAAAACTCATGAGGGTCACTATGAATTTGTGGTTATGCCCTTTGGGTTAATTAATGCCCCAACCTAATTCCAAAGTTTGATGAACCACATTCTCAAACCATTCCTTGGACAATTTGTTTTGGTCTTTTTTGATGATATTCTTGTTTACAGCAAGAATATCAAAGACCACATTCAGCATGTCGCCATGTCCACACAGTAGTTGAGAAACTCCAACTCCATCAGTTGTATCTAAAGAAAAGTAAATGTGTTTTTGCTGTGACCAAAGTAGAATACATGGGACATTTTATATCAGCAGAGGGTGTTGCTACTGACCCAGACAAGGTTGGTGCAGTAAAAAGTTGGATAGTACCTACCAACTAAGGGGTTTTTTGGGTCTCTCTGGCTACTATAGAAGGTTTATCAGAGGGTTCAAATCACCAAACCACTAACTGATCTCTTAAAGAAAGACAAGTTTTCTTGGACTTCAGAAACACAAAAAGCTTTTATGACTAAAAAAGTTGTTGTGTGAAGCATCCATCCTTGCTTTACCTGATTTTCAGAAACCTTTTATTATAGAGACAGATGCTTCTGGTCATGGAATAAGAGCTGTGCTGAGGCAAGAGGGTCATCCTTTAGCCTACATAAGCAAGGCTTTAAGTCCACAAAATCAAGCTAAATCAGCCTATGAGAGGGAACTAATTGCAATAGTATTTGCCATCCAAAAGTGGAGCCCTTACCTACTCAATAAACCTTTCATCATCAAGACTGACCAGAAGAGCCTTAAGTACTTACTTGAGCAGAAGATCTGTACTCCTTGTCAACAAGCTTTGATGGCCAAACTGTTGGGATACAATTTTGAGATATATTATAAGAAGGGACAAGACAACGAAGTTGCTGATGCTTTGTCGAGATTACTAACTCCTTTGTTGTTGATGGCCCTTAATGCTGAATATACTGACCTTTACAAGAAAATATCAGCTGCTTGGCAATCTGGTCCTATTCTCCAACAGATAATTAAGGAGTTGGAGGTCGATCCATATTCCCACAAGCAGTTTTCTTGGTTTAATGGTCAGCTAAGGAGGAAGGGGAAATTGGTTATAGGCTCTTCGGAAGAATTGAAACATGAACTACTCACATGGTTTCACAATTCTCCTATTGGGGGTCACTCAGGTAGAGATACCACTGTACATCGAATACAAACCTTGTTTTATTGGAAAGGGATGAAGAAAGATGTGCAGGAGCACATTAGATGCTATGACAACTGTCAAAAATGAAAATATGACCACTCAAAATATCTGGGTTTGTTGCAACCTTTACCAATTCCTGAGGTGGTATGGTCACACATTTCAATGGACTTTATTGAAGGCTTACCTCTTTCAAATAACAAAAAGGTAATTTTGGTGGTGGTGGATAGGTTAGGCAAAACTGCTCATTTCATAGCCTTAGCTCATGTCTTCAAATAAAGTTGCTCAAGCATATATGGACAATGTCTTCAAATTGCATGGGTTACCTGACTCCATTGTTTCTGACAGAGGCAATGTCTTCCTCAGCAATTTTTGGACTGAGCTATTCAGATTCCAGGGCGTAGACTTGCTCAAATCCACATCATATCTCCCATGAACACCCTCACACTTGGAGTAAATGGTTACCATTAGCTGAATGGTGGTACATCACTTCTTATCGTACTTCCCTAAACACAACTCCCTATACAATTCTCTATGGGCAGCAACCTCCTATGCATTTACCTTATCTGCCTAGTTCCTCACCTAATCAAACAGTGGATAGAAGCTTGCAACAGCGGGAGAACATTATTAAAATGCTCCAGTTTCAATTACACAAAGCACAACATAGGATGAAGCAGTATGCTGGCAACAATAGATCTGAAAGGGAGTTCACAGTGGGCCAGTGGGCATATCTCAAACCACAAAGCTACCAGCAAACTTCAGTCCAGCAAAGGGAAAATGATAAACCGAGTCAGGGATATTATGGCCCATTTCAGATCATAGATAAAGTGGGAAAAGTTTCTTATAAACTGCATTTGCCTCCATCCTCCCAAATCCATCAATTATTCCATGTTTCTCAGTTGAAACATTGTTGGGACCCTTCCAAGATGGATCAAGCATTACCTGCTCTATTCCATGATTCAACCCTTCCAGGGTGCCCCAAGCTATAATACTTGATAGGCAAATGGTGAAGCGAGGCCGTGTACCAAAGTGCTGGTGAAATTGCTTGGATTACCAGATGAAGATGCCACTTGGATGTTCTATCAAGATTTTACACAGCTTTTAAATGGGGGAGTTGTGGTACCGGCTTAACAAGTTAGTTGGGTTGTTGGGGAGCTGTTGTGAGTTAGTTACGATTCTAACTAATTTGGTTGTGTTCTTCGTTTATAAATACATCTTGTAAGATTGTAAATGGAATAAGAAAGATACAATTCATTCTCAACTTCATCTTCTTCCTCTTTCTCTCTCTCAGTTAATCTCAGATGATAGCACAGAATAATTTTAGCTTCTTCTCTCATTTGGCTCCTAGTTCTGTGGCTGTAGATACTCGAATCCATCAGTGATTCCTGTTCTTTTTTTTTATACATTTTTAGAGCTTCCCAATGATGATCGGAGACGAAGCAACCCAGATTGGATCTTTCGATCGTGTATATGAATGAAGAATGTCTGGATTACACTATATTTGGTTCAAGCAATTTGAGAAGGAAAGGAAAAGGAAATTTGGTTAGAGAAGAAAAGAAAAGAAAAGTAGAAGGAAAAGAAAATAAGAAGGTAAAATGTACAAAGATGAGAGAAAACCAAATTCCTTTCATTTTAGTGAGAAAAATGAAAGAAAATCATTTTTTTCTTTTTCTTCCAAATTCTTTGAACCAAACATAGTGTTAGGGAATGTGAATATTGAGAAGCTTGAATGGTGGAAAAAAAAAGCCCAATAAATCCATAAGACTGGGAGGATTGCTTTCACTCGTGGTTGCCAATGTTTTGTGGGGGTTGTTTTGTTCTTGGGATGCATCACAACTTCACAAAATACAAAATGAGTTAAATGCATAGTGTTATTTGAAAATGTGCATACGCAAATTCACATTCTTATTTAAACGAAATGATTATTATGTACTCCGAAGTATTTTCAAATGTGCATGTTTTGAACAAATTTTAGGCTCCATTTGGTATACGGAATTCAAATTATGAAATTGAAATTGGGGACAACAATTCTAACTCTGCTATTTGGTAGTACAAAAGTATGTAGATTTGAAATTGATATTGCCAAAAATGAATTAGAATTGGAGAATTGTATTCCATCCAAATCAATTTCATAGAATTTCAACTCCCAATTTGATTCCAATTCCGTCAATTCCGTCTAGCTGACTGACCCTTTTAGTTTTTTCAAACATCTTTTAAATTCTTTTAATTTCTTCCAACTCCTAGTTTTTTCTTATATATTTCATTTTCTTTTAACTTTTTTTCAGTTTCTTTTAATATCCAACCCTGTTTTGTGTAAATCAAGCGAGCATAGCCTTAAGAAGGTACAACCAAGGCACAAGGCCATTACTTGATCCAATTGCAAGCTACTTGGAAACCAGTAGTAGATTTTGCAGTTCAGTACCCTAGTTTTCTAGTCACTATGCAGCCTTGAGATCAAGCTTTTTTGAAGTAGCAATGATATTGTAGATTAGTGAGTGATTAAAAATTTGTTAAAGGATTGTTAGCTCAAGTTAATAAATTAGTTACTAAGGTGACAGCTTTATAATTATTGTGAAAATACTTGATATTGATGTGGCGGGATGATAATAATACAATGTAAAGTTCTTCCTCAGTTCTTCCTTTCTTCATTCCTCACTATCCAGATTCTTCTATTGAAGAAGATCAACAGGTTCCTCTTGTTGTATAAATCACAAATTTCGAGAATAACTTCTCAATCAATTTACTTAAAAATTGGTTGACATTTTTAAAACAATGACCCAGTTAAATCCCTACTAAGTACCCTTGTGCATGTAAGTCGAAACATTTACTATTTAAGGTCAAGGAGTTTTCAACCTGTTGAAGTGCAATCCCAACCTCTAGGGTTAAACAAGTATCGAACCGATCTTGAAATTTTACAAAAAAAGTAAGAATACCGAATCGAAAAAAATGTCGTAAACGTATCGAACCGAATGGCCGGTATGGTATTTGAGAACCGTATGAGATAATTTCTCATACTGAAAATCCTGAATCGAACACATATAATAATAAGTTATCAAAATATTAATCTTCTTATATTTCTCCATTAGTTAATAAATTTATTTTAAAAATTTTGGTTTAAATTTTGCTATGTGAAAGTTATGGTTTTATTCGAGCTTTAATTTTTTGTTGATGAATAATTTTTTTTTACTTCGTAACAGACATTCAAAATATTGTTTTGTTATCGTTTATTTTTTAGTTTGTGAAATATAAACTAAATTTTAATAATCATTTTTTTGTATTAAATTATGCTTTTTGTATGTACTTTTAAATTTTCAAAAATAAAAAAAATTCGTTACATTTTAAAATGCAAACTAGGTACGAATATATTGATTCCAATTTGTACTGAAACCGATACCGAACCATCCCAAACTACACCAAACCAATATATTTCGGGATCGAGACCGATATAACGTAAAATCACATACCGAACCGAAATATGTGGTACAATATTGATACAAGCTAAATATCGTATCATTCTTACCCTGGCATCATCAGCCCATCCCGACCTGTTTGTCACGTATAACAAGACATGATGGATGTTAGCAGCACTCTGAATCTCTGATGTCTATGCTAAAATCACTATTTAATTAAGTTGTTAGCACAAGGGCGGTCATAAAATTGCTCTATATAGACACAAACCAAACCACTGTGCACGGATCGAGAAGGAAAGAGAACGAAAAAATATTAGACTTTTGAGTACTTAATTAATTTGCCACTAACCAAACAACAGAAAAATATTTAATGACATTTTGACAGCTCTACAAAGCAAAGCAGAGTTCATCATCAAGTTGATAATGAGAACTATGATGTATATGACAACAATCTTAGGCTTTCTTTTTTTGTGACAAAGGTAAAAGTTTTATGGAAATGTCATATGAAAATCACAAAGGAACCCGTTGTAGGTTTCCACTCATTACACCTTTTCTGTTTTCAATGCAGGAGGAATGATGTTTACAGTCTGCGAAGAAGCTGTGCAACTTTAATGAAGAAGAAAATACGGCAGGACGACACATTTTATCAGCTGAAGAAAATGTTACATTATTTGTCCTGTAATGTTTCCTTTCAGCACAGGGAGAAGCTGAGAATTCGAATCAATACTCCTTTTCTTTTTCTTTGAAAGTGAAGGAAGGACATGATTAGACGGTGGACATGGCATCCCATGTGCAAGAACACCCTCCAGATGGAGTGCCCATGGATCTCGCGTTCTTACAATCCCTGCTAACATCGTCAAAAAGAACTGCCCCAAATACTTCTTTCAGCACGGAATTATTCTTGTTGTGGTTTGTCTGATGATAAAAACCATTTGAAGCAAGAAAGAGGTCAGGCCTGGAAAACATATTCTGGTTTGATTCATCATTTCTGCCATCATAACACTGAATTGGATACGACCAGTCCATGTCCTCCTCCTTAACTTTGAATCCTTCAAAACAATAGGAATTGTTGGACTCCTCAACTTTGTGCCCTTCAAAACAATAGAGGAATGGGATCATCATATTACAGTTTGCATCTACAAGAGACATCATTACAGCTTGCATCTACAAGAGAATAAAGGAATGAGACGCAAAGTTCATAGCTTAACTACAGAATAGATATAGAGTCCATATGGAATGACTCGTACTATAAGGCTTTTATAAGACAACTTTATCATTTAAGCACTAAACACTTTTGCCAACAAGCTCCAATCTGGTGCTTCCTTTAATATGTAAAGAATTTTTTTTTTTAAGAATTGCCTTGCCAAATGCTTTTTTAAGTAAAAATACTTTTTCTTTAAAAGGCACTTATTCTTTGAAAACAAGTCATCTCAATGGCAGTGATACTCACCTGTCACTGTCTCATCAGGGTGGGGCTTGTCCCCATTGACAGGAGGGGTGTATTCACTGAACACCGAAGCAGATGAATGACCTAAAGGAGAGATTGGATCTCCATATGCTTCCAATTCTGCAGTCTCATGAAGATTTTGAAATGATTTGTTCTCATGCATGGTGCCCGGGGAAGCATCAGAAGCAGTATTGTTATTATTCTTTGTGTGCGACTCATAAAGCACAGCATCCAGCAGGCCACTGTTTCGCGGAGAGAGACTAGTTTCGGTTGGAGGAGGTGAGTGAATCAATGTGTCAACAATGGACTCTGGTGATGAATACCAATTACCCATGTGACTTTGGAGTGAAGGGAGCTCCAGCTTCTTCTCCCATGAGGGCTCAGGAGAAGAACAGGAGTTGCCATTTAAAGAGGCATGGCTGCCGTTAATAACACCACCCAACAATGAATGATGATCAGAAGAAGAAACCCCAAAAGGCTGTTGATGATCAAAATAATATGGAGAAGTGCAACTCTGGTATGGATCACAGGCTGGTAGATCACCGGCACCAGGGAGCAAGGAGGCCGTCTCTGTTACTCCTCTGAGACGTTTGGATGGATGCACGGGGGAGATGAAATACCTGTCACCGGACGAAGACTTCAGACCTTGTCCCAGCAGGTTGCTATCAATAATTGCAGGTGGAGTGTATGGATACTGATTTAGTCCCAAATTCTTGAACTCCACAGCTGGAATGTCAAAATTGTTCATTTGTAATATATCATGATGCCGCCCACCTGAATATGTGCCCATGTCTTCATTTTGTTTGCCTGCATTTATGGTTCTGATACAGAGATCTGGAGGGTAGATGGGCAGGCCAGCACGCTGTCTTCTCTTGATTCTCGTGTTCCAATAGTTCTTTATCTCATTGTCAGTACGACCAGGAAGCTTAAGGGAAAACAACAAAGCAAAGTGAGTAATAGTGATCCCATAGGGAGAATTTTGTTAGAAAATACTCACTCAATTTCTATTTTTGTTTCAAAATATTTTTGCCCTAAAAAGAGCCATATTTCATCTAAGGAAGCTACTTTTTCACGCAATTTGACAAATAACAAACATAAAATTGATTAATTGGATGAAACCAAGAAATAAATTTTAAAGAAATGAGTATGACTATGACTTTACCTGTTGCACCTTACCAAAATTTTAAAGTTGTACCATGACCACTTTTGTTTTGGGATGGAGGGATTACATACACAAAACAACTACAGCTACCCAGCAAGGTCCCACAAGTAGTCTATGGAGGGTAGGTGTACACAAACCTCAACATTACTTGTACAAGTATAGAGGCTGTTTCTGAATGCACAACAGGTTAGAATAGTGGCATATGAAGAGACATACAGTATGACTCATATGCATTCACTGAATAAAAGGAATTGAAACGAAAAATACTGATTCGTGCTCAGAGTACTTTTCTCAATTTGATTTTTATTCATACCTTTTTTCAATTAGAAAATGGGTGCAATTTTACTAGATAAAAACCTATGGGATTTGATAGCATGTAATTTTGAATGGAATAGAAATTTTAAAGGAGAAGAATACAGGTTCCAATTCTTCAAGTATGTCGGGCAAAAGCATTGTTCAAGAAAAATCTTTTGTTCTTATTAGATGATAATGCATTATGACAAGAACAATACTTCTATAAAAAGAGTAAGAAACATCAATTTCCCCTGACATTCTTTCTAAATTTGTAAACAAAAAATTGAAGAAACATTGAACAAACCACCAAGGAAATGACAAAAAAGGGATGAGATTGTGATAATGTCGTTGGGTAGTCTATTAAGCCTTTTGGGAAAGAGGGACCTAGCCCTGAATTTTATACTAAACAGAATTTCCTCGCTAAAAGTTTCATTGTTGTTTGTGTTTTCATCTTGACAAGTAGGAAAAGGGTCTATCTGTGTGAGGGTGTGTTTTCCCGGTTCAACAGAAGAGCAGTTCACCACTGCTGTCAGGGAGACCAAGTTGGGAGGGACGGATTGGATGGAGAAAGACATGAAAAGATCAAAAGATTATGCAATGAACAAAGACAAAAAAGTATATAGCTATCAGAATGGCCCCTCTCCCACATTACTAACGGCACTCATGTAAAAGCTCCAAATGCACCACCCTAGCACCTTGGTCCAAATCAGCATGAGCTTGCGCTGACCACGGGACACACATCACTCTCTATATGCATGCATGTGGCTAATATCTGATCTCAGGCGTGTGGTTTGTCGGCTACGGCATGCATGTGCCTCCTAGCCTTTGCCTACACTTAGGCCTATGGTCACAAATGTATGAGTCATGTGTGCATCATTTCAGTGGCATGTCGCAATGAATCCATAGTTTTGAAAGGCGAGCGCCTACCTTGCCTAATCCGCCTTGTCGCCTGTCAAATTGTCAATGCCCAAGTGGCTATATTGGTAAAGAAGACCGGTTTGAGGCATTGTGTGACAGGACAGTACAGAGTCAAACATTTGAGCTGATCTGTCCGAGTATAACCATAAGGTGTGTGTCTGTGTTTGTGAGTGCAAATATTAAAATAGTTATGCGTCTGTTTGTAAGTGCATATATTAAAAATTTAAATCAAATACTCTCCGTCCCAAAAAAATCATGTTTGATATACAACTTTAAAATTTAAAATTTAGGCAAGACAGAACATGTAAAGTCATAGAATCATACTTAAAACAACAACAACAAAACCCCACTATAATCCCTACTCTGTTGGGTCAAGATGTATGCTAACTTAATGTTATAAAAAGGGGAGAGACTATTTCCATTAGATCTTTGAGGCATTACTGAATTTCCTTCCAAAAATATCCATACAAAGTAAGAAAAGAGAGAAGTTTAATGCGTCATTTTGATTCCGTCTATTATATACTCGAAGCTAAAACATTGAAAAAAGACAATGTTTTATCATATTTATATTTTTGCAAAACTTATTTCTTGGTTTAACAAAACTATATGCCCTCTGTCCCAAAATAAAGAATATACTCTCCTTATTGGGATGTCCCCAAAGTTTCTCTCTTCAACACAAATTGCAACCACACTTTTTACTTTCTAACACTTTTCTTAAACTCCGCGAAGTCAACCCTTAGTGTCATTATTACACCTAACCTTTGGAGTCCTACGACGCTTCATTGGGCACGGGACCGAGGATGGGTTCAGGGGTCTAGGTTAGGTGGGCTGCTACTCACCGGGGGGGGGGGGGAGTTTGTGGGGGGTAGGACGTGCTCTCAGGCCCAACAGAGCCCCGTAGGCCTTGTGTTATGTTATGGCACCGCTTGAGTGGTGTGAAAAGAATTGTAGTGTGTGTGTGTACTCTTTAACACACAAAGGAATTAAAATTACACCTTTTTTATGACCTTTTTTGTGTACTCTGCCCGATAATGACGTTTATCCTTTTTTGGTCTTCCCAAAAATAAACTTGCACTACTCTCATTTCTTTTTTAAAAGGAACATGTCTCATAACATTTCACACCTTTTTAAACGAATTTCACTCGCACACTTTTCACTTTTAACACTTTTCTTAAATTTTTGAAGTTAAGTGTAAGCGACATTACGGGACAGAGGGATAATACAAAATTTTGGATAAATTACTATCAATCCCAAAAAGGAAACGTGTTTGGTCAATGTACAACCTTCCAACTTTTGTAAGGGAGAACAACATGTGAAGTCATAGAAGCATACTCACGCTTTCAAATTTTATTCTTTCATTTAACTTAAAATATAACATGCAAACGCACACACATACTCATTCTTTTCCTTATTAGTGTTCATATTTCAAATTTTGGAAAAGGTCCTTTTATTAATATATCATGTAAAATTTTCAGATATGAGTCCCTCTGTTCCACTATTTTGTCCCTTCCATTGTTTATAGGGTCAAACTAAATCTACTTTCTTTACATAATTTCATCTAGCATTTCTTAAAAAAATTATATTCATATCACCTCTTATTTTGTAAAATTTTTTATGTAGTTTTTGAATAATAATTTTTGTTTTTAATTCTACACCAATATTTAGATAAATTTCATTAAAAAAATTAGTCTAACATCATAATCTGAAAAGGAACAAAGATAGCAAGACAGAGGGAATACTAAGCATATGCTTCTGGTCTTTTGTGTTTTGTGTTTTAGAAGAGAGTCATTCGAGACCAACCTATCTACCTTTTCTAGGATAAGGTCTTCGAACACTCACCTCAAACCCCATTTGTGTGATCTTACCACATTGGTTGTTTTTGTTTACTATTACGAGGTAGTCATTTGTATAAGAATAATTGACACTTTAAAATCTTGCAAAAAGTATAGTGACAAGGTTGTATGCAAGATGCCCTTGCTGTCACAACCCCTAAAATTCGTGGTAATGTTCCATTTGGAAAAAGCCTGGGGTCTCTTTGGAAACAGCCTCTCTACTTTCGAGTAGGGGTACCTCCCCAGACCCTACTCTTGAGAGATTTAACTGGGTTGTTGTTGTTGTTGTTCCATTTGGCCGTTAAGAGTTAACACTCAGTTACTTTGACCAATCAAACACCCTAAAATTATATTTTGCCCGTTTTTACATTAAAAATCATTAATTTCATCATATTATCATCATTGTAACCTACGACATTTATCCTAGAGTATGTGTCGAGTTTTAACTTTTTGCAATAAAAAATGATGAACTTTGACTATTAATTTTATGAAATTTATATTAGATATTGATACAAGAATAATTTTATTAGACTTATCTTGTAAAATATTTTCAAAATATTATTTTATCTAATTAATATAACACGTAGTTTTAAGTTATTTATAGGTCAAAGTTCAATTTTGGTTGACAGATAAAAAAACAAAAATGGACAAATACTCTAGGATGGAAGATTATTTTTTTTATTTTAAAAATGTTCTATAAACTTTATTTTTAATAAAAAAATTATATACAAATGTTTTAAATTTATTCATCATTTATTTCATTTTATTACTTTTCAATGCATGTGCTTCTTTATTTAAACTACACATTTTATTTCCAAATTTTTATTAATTTGCATATTTAAATTATTATACATATTTTTTAACAATATAAATATATTTATATTTTATTTACTTTTATTATTAAATAAAGTGATAAGAATTTTAGTATAGTGAAATGGCACACGTGTCCTACATGATCTATGTCATGCTACACACGTGCATTAAATATTACTTTAAATATTCATTATATTTATTACTAGTTTACTACGTACATTTTTAGAAATCTTTCACTTGCTAATATTTTGGTTTCTAACACAAATATTGAAATTTACAATAAAAGGTCGTTATTTTATTATACTTTCATCATTGTTACCTTTTTAAAATGAGGAAAATTATTTTATTATTTTAAATATGCTTTATAAACTTTATGTAAAAATTGAGTACATTCGAGGTGTTTTGGAGGTGCAATGATTGTGGTCAAAGTAACAGACTAATAACTCCTAACGGCAGACCGGACAGTATGTACCCTCAGAGTACATTACCATGAATCTAAAGCGCCCCTAAAGTACATATTTTGGAAAATGTGGGACCTGTGATTTTTAGGAAGAAACGTGAGGTACTCCAGAGTAATTTTTGTGAATAATAATATTAAATTCAACACTATTATAAGCAAACGTTTTAAAAACAAGGAGAGAAATGTTAGTTTGAAATGAGTAAAACAACCATGTAAAATGGGATAGATGAAGTTGTCAGTATATGATCCTCGATTCCATCCTACACTTCATCCAAAATATTATGACCTTGTATTTTGCTCTTCTCTTTTTTATATTTCCCTCCATTTCCTTCCATGCCTAAGGCTTTGGGGGGAAATAAATAAAATGGTGGGGACACATATCTACACCATTCCATTTATTTCTCTCAAAGCATACTAATAGAAGGAAATACTAATAAACTCCCAAAAACATAACAAAACACATATACAAACAAACAACAGTCCTCCATGAGTAATTGCTAAATGTTACATTAATTATTGTCAACATGCCTTTATATCTTTCGTGATGGTTAAGTTTAGAAAACAAAAGTTTTAATAACATAGCTTCATAAGAGGGCTGAAAGGTCAATCCAATTAGTCCAATTCTTCTGATCATCTAATGTAGAAGCAAGTGCAGATATAACTATCAATCTTGCGTATGCAACATGCTTTGTTCGTGAATAAGAAAAAGATAGTTTTTTTAGGACATAAAAATTCAGTTCAAATTAATAGGAGGAACCTGTGGATTGGATGGTCACATGCCACCATTATGTGCTTTCATTTTAAAAACTTGAATAAAAAATGGATACAAACAACACAAAATATACACCAACTACAGTCAAAATTAAAAGGGAATACGAAATTATGCTATAATTACTTTCACTTAATAATATTCGAAAACCATTTTTCATTATAAAATATGATTCTTATCGTTAAATAATATTCAACATTCATTGTTCCTAAATAGAATGTTAAGTTTCTAAATAGTTTTCTAACATGGATTTCATGACAAATATAAGCATAAATGGAAATAGATGTTGAGTGTGAGGGTAGATACATACCTCAGCAGCCATTCGTGCCCATTTGTTTCCCAATTTAGCATGCAGTTCAATTATACGGCGCTCCTCCTCGGGAGAAAATGAACCTTTCTTTAGATCTGGCCTCAGATGATTTGCCCACCGCAAACGACAACTTTTACCACAGCGAGCAAGTCCTGAATGTTTCTGCACAGCATTCCAATTCCCTTCTCCGTTTCTTGTTACGTAATCAACCAAAATCGCATCTTCTGCGGATGTCCATGGACCTTTCTTCAGCTGAACATTTCCTCCTTTAGCACATGCTTCTTCAATAGATGCAGAACCTGCGCTGCCTTTTGAATTAATCATTTCTTCACTTTCAGAGGTGGTACTCACTACTCATCCTGATATGAAGACCGACAAAAGGAAATTAATTCCAAAAAGGAAAGGAGCATTAAAAAAGAAAAATAACAATGATATGCTTCCGTGTGGGTGGGTTGGTGGCAACATCTTCCTAAGAGTACTTATCTCATTTAAGATGACAAGTTCAATTCGTATCAGTACATAGCAACAAATCAGTCATACAAATATTGGAGAATCATCGGGATACATCCACAAGAAAAGTTAATGATAGTAACAGAAAACACACTTTTCGAGATCCAAAGTGGCAGCCCACACATCCAACACGTGACACACAGTATGTTGAATGGATTTGAACAAAACAACAAATTTGGAAACGTCATCACAAAACAATAATTGTATTTTAGCGACCAATGTCGAAATGCAATATACCTGACTTAACAACGAAAAGCAAAAGAAGGAACAAACTTTTGCACATATTTGAGTGAAAGGATACTAAAATTTTCCATGAATTAAGATTAGAAAGCATTAATTAAGTTCCTAGAGACGTGATAAGGTATACCACCAATGCTGTACGCCCATGATTGAGCACAAAACCACAAAATACTAAGCACGTCAGTTTGATTGGGAGAAAGAATACAAGGAGCATGAATTACCAATTATACACAACACATGCCTAGTATGCGCCTTATGGGTTGGCATTATACTGTATGGAGTGCAAACAAGAAGGTTCCGTGATCACAAACCAAAGAAATGAAACACCAAAAAACTTTTCTGATTTCCAATACAACAAATTACAAAAATGCCAACCATGATGCTAAAACTTACCAGCTTTTGAACTTCTAAATCCATGCATCAATCTCTATTGTGCACACTGAGAATAAAGAATATGAATTAAAAATAGGCAAAATCCTCACAAGCTTGTCAAAATTTAATTACTCAAATTAAGGGTGCAAGTAGATCTCAAAGATATTAAGTGAGATTCAACAAATAAACTCCATATTCATTATTCTCACCTTTGCAAAACCGTATTTATATATTGAATGATAAATAACTACGGATCAAATTCATACAAATCTTTTACCTGCGTGAAAAAAAGCTGGTGTAGCTGTTTAGAGCAAGACACCAACTAACCACTAAGATCAGTCCTTCAAAATTCCAGTCCAATTAAACCAACGAGTCTGGGAGAGCAAGCTAATACCTGGAAAAATGAAAAGCTGCCCCGATGATTCAAAAACAGAAATGACGGAGAAAATGGCACCCTCTAAGCCAAAATTCCAACACCTGGATTCACAATTATTCGTATATGTATACATAACACAGTGACTCCACATCAATCATGAAGATCGCTACACATAAAAGCTCGGAACCTTGAAAAACACAGCACAGGGGGGAGGAAATGTGATTTTTTATTTTTTATTTTTTAAGATTTCAAATTCAGCTTCCAGAAGAAAAAGGAAAAGAAATTCAAATTGAAAAGGAGAAGAAGATGAACATGACGAAGCTCAAACCCTATTGTGGGCGTGAAAACAGGAGTTGAAGAACAAGATCCACTTATTATTTTTCAGAGTTTGAGGAGAGAGAGAGAGAGAAGAGTTTGAAGTCTGAGCTGATCAAATACGGAGAAAGAGAAGAGGGGTGAGGTGGCTTGATACGAGAACAAATAGTGGAGATTAAATGTCTAATTAGCACCAAATTGTAGATTAATTTGATGTGCCGTACACAAATGAGCTAACTTTATTACTCCGCAATTGATATACCCACTCCGGAAGTATTATATAAGTACAGTAGCATTTATGTTAAATCATTCGGATGATGATTTCATTAAATTGCCATTTTTTATGCCACTTCTTTTTTCTTGTACTAAAATTGGTGAAAGTACAAAGCATTTGTACACCTTAGTGTGTTGTTCACCTTACCAGTGTGGGTATGTGGTGATATATGTACTTCCTCCCCTAAGAGTTTTGTAATTTCATCTAATAGTTTTGTAATGACATCTTTTTTAAAGTAATGGTAAAACTAAAGACGGATTAAGGAATCCAAGATAAAATAGAGAGAGCTTCAATTTAAATGAAAGAAGATGTGTAAATGCACCCCTCCTCATATATTGTGGAGAGGTATATATTGATGAAGAGGAGAGCGCATAGGAGGCCTAAAAAGTTCTGACATGAATCGTTTGGTTGGCCCATGAAAACAACTTAATAGATAAACTAGTCGAGGCTGGCCTCGAGATCGACCAAGCCAACGATTCTAGCAATATATATCGTACAACTGCTTATACCGTAGTTCTCGTACATTCGTAGCGAATAAACATTTATGAATGTTACCAAGTATATTAGGTTTAGTATTATTGGGCTTGTTATTAGGTCATTGTTTGTAGCTATTATAAATAACATGTTTGTGTTCAATGAAACCCAATTTAATTCAATTGTCTTATATTTTTACATAGTATTGGAACTAGCCCTAATTTGATCTATCAATGTCTTCCACTATGTCGTCGTCGTTGGTAGTTGGTCCCGTGACAACGGCGTCACCGTCAATTTATCTTGGCCCTCTTGTTTGTCTCTATTCAGTGCGCTTCTGCATCAAGAAGCCGCATGTTGAAGTTCTAATCGATTACATTCTGTTTGTTTATTTTGTTATCGTCGCCGCCCGTTGTTCAGTCCCCTTGTCATCTGTGGTTTGTCTAGCCACAGCGGTGGAGGTGGGGGTGTCAATCATCTTTATCCACTGTCAAAGTCGAAGACCATCTATTTTATTTGTTCCAGATCTGCAAGTCCACAATGGCTATTGTCTCACTTCTGGCGTTGAGCTATCTACTGCAATTTATCTATTTTAATGATTGTGGTAAACAAGCCCACTTAATTGCAGTAATGGTGTGCTGCATAATTTAGTGTCTCATAGTATTTTTGTTGGTTTCAGTTCAACTCTTCCCAATTGAAGATCATAAGCATAGTATTTGGTCGGTTTTGATTTGTTCGTGGTCCACGAATGAAGGTTTTCAATTTTAGTCAGAGCTAGTTTTGATAATGTTTTTTCATGATACTATTTTTTGTTGCTTTTTGGTATGTTTAAATGCAACCAACCATATGCTTGGCATTTTAACTTATGGAGTTGGTCGCACACCTTAGTCCGGCAACAATATGTTTGGATTTGGAATGCTTGTTAGTCATCCCTATATCACTACGTGGGAGTCATTCATCGTTAGTTCTTAGTCGTTCGCTTGCTTAGCAAGCCATTTGTTGTTGTCCCAACAAATTAAACTTCAGTCGCGCTAGGGGTACACCAGTCGTGTACCCCAATTCATACACCATATACGCCCCCCTCCCTCTTTCTTCTCTCTCTATACCCCTCCCCTGCTTTCTTTCTCTCTCCCCCTCTCTTGCAGATCTCTCCAGGGAATTAGGGAGCGGGCAACTACCGGAAGACCAGCCCTTCCTTCGTCTTCCTCGTTTTTCCACAGTGACATTACCTACTTTTCTTTCCTCCGTCCAGTGCATCGGTGGAAGATCCAACTTGGTGGAGACTTCATCCTTTGTCTTCTTCGATCTTCAATTCCGCGCCTTGACCACCACACAATAGAAAACTAAAGGTTATAATAAATACTTTTTATTTCAATTTTAGGGTTTTTATTTGTAAAGCTAGATTCAGTCATTCAATTCTAACAAAAATCGAGCCTTCCCTCTTGTGAAATTAGTCTTTTTAAAATATTTTTTTGTGAATCATTCTTTCTGAAACTTATTCAGTCATTTAATTCGTTTTTTAATCTTTTCAATGGCTGATTTTTTGTTAAAAACTTGTGGCAATTGGGAATTTTTCATGCTTATTACGAAATGTCTGTGTAGTGCTTGTTATTGGTGCAAAATGTTTGTGAAAGAAGTCTTACAGACGGAATTTTCACTCAGGGTACACAGATAGTAAATGTTTGTGTTCAAACAATTACAGAACTTTAGTGTCTGTGTAACTAAATAGCATTGATACGGAGTATGTTTTTGTGGACAATTATCTATCACATAGACATCTACCGTCTGTGTCACTAAAATTACAGACAACTAGTGTCTGTGAAAGTCTTGATGAAATGTTTTTGATCAAGAATTACATATATATATAATGTCTATGTCTGTGAAAGTCTTTATGTTCTACTACATGATATTTCACGGATTTCATTTTTATACATGTTACATAGTACTCAGGAGGTATCACGGATTTGAACCTGGGATTCTCGATCTTTGCTGCCCCATCCTCTTCGCTGCCCAAAAGTTGCACGGCGTGAGTTCCCCATCGCCGCCCAGAAGCATCCAAGAGCGGCATCATCATCATCATAATCAAGATCTTGATTCGAGCAGGGCGACGAAAAACACCTTCGATTCCTGGTCTTCACCGCCACTTGTTTTCTTGTCATTGCTCGCTCCTCCCAGACCGCCATAATGACTTTTTTTGTCGTTAATAGCGTCACCGGAGGAGAGATCTTTGATTCAGATTATACAAATAGTAATTGTCTGTGTTCAAGAAAATAAAGACGTTTAGTGTCTGTGTGACTAAACAATATTAATTGTAATTTTTCTTTTCTTTTTTTAAACGTAGAAAAATTTATGGAATGTTCTTGGTACTGTACTATTTCGTAGATTTGAAGGGTGAAATTTTAATGTGAATTACATAAACAATAAATGTCTATGTATCAAGAATTATAGATTTTTAGTGTTTGTGTAACAAAACGGTGGTAATTATAATTTTTTTCTTTTTTTACAATCTAGAGTAATTGTGAAACATTCTTTATGATAGCATTATTTGGTATATTTGACAGATGTATTTTTTATTTAGGTTTTACAGACAATAAGTTTCTGTTTACGATAAATTACAGACATTTGTTGTCTGTGTGACCAAAACATACTCCACACTTAGTTTATTTTTGAAATATAAGAAAAATATCATGAAATATTCTTATTATTGTATTATTTGGTATATTTTACAAGTGCGATTTTCATACATTAAAAACAGTTAATAAAACATATAATTCTCGAGTTCTTGTTCTTATTACTTTCTTGTGATCCATTCTTCTGAATCAGATCATCTGGTGGAATTATTGTCCATCAGTTTGAAACTAATTTAATTGACTTTATTTACAGTTGCAATTTTCATCCAAGTTATGCAAAGTGTTTAGGAGAATTACATACATTTAGTGTCTATGCGACCAAACACTTCATATTGTTTTTTTTGCATTTAGAATTTGTTTTTCTTGTCCCAACAAATCGTGAAATATAATGTCTTTGTAAGTAGATTATTTGGCATATTTAATGCATTGAGTGCGCCTGCTCACGAATGTATCATGTTGGTAACACATTATGAAAATTCATAACACAATTAAATCAGAACTAAGTATAAATTCCAACCAGGCCAATACATTGCCTATCAGTGAGATTTATTTTTATATGCAGTTAATGTCATTAACTGAACAATTTACAGACAGTTGGTCCCTGTAATTAGGCATTCACAGAAATTTAGTGTCTGTGATTACACTCTTAGTGTTTGTGATTAAAAATCAGACTGTAAACGTTTAGGAGTTCCATGTGTCCTTAAGAAAAAACAATCCCATCAAAATTATATTTACCATCACAAATAAAAATGTTTATGAAGCAAACACAAAACAGGTGTAGCATCTTGAGTCCATATCGTTTGTATGGTAATGTAATACATATAATTATACACAAAGAGTGAACAAAAACAAAAAAACCCAAACTCGGTGAATACTAACGACTAAAAAGCCTAAGGTAATCCTGATTTAGATACAAGTTTGAGAGCAACTCCATATAGACCCATAAAAGCTTGACCTGATTCAGTCACAAACATGGAGAACGAAAGCCGAAGGAGCAACGCAGGGTTTTATATCAGGCTGCAAGACATCATTGAACAAGACAAGTAAATTAAAGCTCAAAATCATTATAAGAGATTAATGATTTGACGTATGGAGTGTGTTTGGCCATGAATGTATGAAGTTGGCAATACATTGTGAAGCTAATAACACATTTAAATCAAAACTATCAATACATTACAACGAACACATCTATGGAATTCACTTGTACATGTAGTTAATGGTGTTAATTGAGAAATTTAGTTATTGTTTGTAATTAGGCATTTACATATCAGTAGCTGTAATCACATACACATAATGTTTGTGAATACAAACCCACAGACACTAATGTTTGTGAGCTGCATAGGTGCTTAAGAACAGCAATTCAATCAAGATTTTTGAGCTGCATAGGTGCTTAAGAGAAATGTCACTTTGTTTGGAACTTAACAAACAAACAATTAAGAAATGTCACTTTGTTTGGAACACGTTTTAGAAGCTATAGGAACCAAATGAGCATATTCAATTATTGCACCAATTCGGAATGATATGAGTAAG